AGTGATTTTTATGATCTGTTGCTTGCTTTGCGCTTTGATCTTTAGAGCAAAGGACTACCTCATCCGTAGAAGCCTACCTCTTAACCAATTCCAACATAATGCAATAAACGCTTTTAAGACTATGACTACGACTAAGTAGTTAGATATTGAGAACCATTAGACAATGTCCTCAAAAAAGGTTGTGGGCACAGCCGCCAAAAATGAGCAAAGTGAGAGTTGGATCACTACATGCCAGGACTTAGTACATACATGCCTATCGATCTTATCAATAGATCTTAATAAAAACAAGCAAATTAGGGTTGTGGGCATGCCCACAGTGCCCACAACGGTGGATCCGCGCCTGCAATGTCGTTGATGAACAGTTCAAAAGTGTTTAATTTATTTTGTTATGTACCAAGATACTTATAAAGTTTGTCATGTCCAGTTTATTACAGTAAATGCTTATTTATCTCCTCGTGGATTGGAATACCTCACGCTCTGATGGGAACTGCGACTAACTAATTAGCAATTAGCCTCTAAAATTAACGCGGGAATAGCGTTGATCTATGTTTAATTAATTATAAACTTTGTAGCTGACATCTTGCTTTTATGTAATTTATTGGATATCTAAGTATTCCTTCTTTGAAGTAATAACGAAAGCTAAGGTTTAGTAATTTTGAAGGCACAATAAGTAAATAAATAAAACGAAAACAAATGAATACATACATAACTACGAATGTACCTAAGTACTCGTACCTATTTGGGATCGCGAAAGTTCTTCTTAACCAAAATGCAAATGGAAATGGAAATGGAAATCTTTGAAAAATAAAGAAAACTGTTTAATTCTATTTTTAGTCCCAAATAAATATTTTTTCTTTCTTCTCTCTTTCTTTCTAATTTGTGCTTTTTTTTTAATGAAATGCAACTTGTAGAATTATTTTATTGAAAAGTTGACAGCAACTTTTCAATAAAATAATTTTACAAGTAATTTCTAAGTTAGACCTTAATACCTACTTGTTCCTACGTGTGGAAAAATATCCAATACAAACCTCGCTCTACTTCAATAATCTATCTAGAAAATCATAGATCATCTTAATGACCTAGAAAACTAACTAGGTATGGGGGAATGTGGGTATTTAACTACAACCTTAGTTGCGCACGCGTCGCTTCCACCCGCGGCGCGGGTAATGGAGTGGCGCTCTGGCTCGAACTAATTGGCCATTGGCGTGTGGCCAGCCGACAATGGAGCATTCAACACTATTAAAGTTGGTAATAAGTAAAAAAATCCGGTAAACATGCTTCTGAACCGGGCAGGGAAAGTATTAAATCTTGACAAAATCTCGCATCTGCTGCAATGCGAGATTTTGTCAAGATTAATAAAATCTTCTTGGTGAAGAAAATAAAAAATTTTTGATTCAAGTACATAGGTAGCTAGCTAACAAGAACATTACATAGTAAAAAAAATACAACTTGACTGAAGTCGTGTAAAAAAGCTTGCCTTCCATTAATAAGTTCAGCACAGCCTTATAACGCCATCTATTGCTAAATAGTAAGACTATTACTTGTACTTACTGCCATCTAGTGACAATATTTGAAACTTGCTATCATACAAAAAGCATGCTTCATATTTTGACAGATGTCACTCCTAAATGTGCTAAGATTATACGACTAAATTACATAGATTCACAAATTGAAAAACAACAATAATGTTCAAAGCATAATGTATGGCTTCAAAGTAAAATGGAACACACCTTACGTACATTTGAAATTAGTCGGCNCTGTCGTCTCATCTAATCTAATTTAAATCAATTAGTTGCAACAGGGCCATGTGTCTTTATTTAGTCAAATTAAAACAACAAATGGGCTCTAGCATAGGCGTAGAGATGTTCCATAAATTGAAATACTGATAGCGAATAGTACCGATAAACAAATTTTAATGTTGTAAGCTATTTTTCAGTGGTTTATTAGGTAGAATATTATAATTGTTATTTTAATTATCTGACAAATAAATTGATCAATATAGCGACATTATTTTTCATTAAAAAAAGCTCTACTACTACTCCTTGCTCTTCTTTCATAATAATTTGATCTTACAGCCTTCGTGTTTTCCGATAAAAGCTTTAAATTTTTAGGCTTTCATGAAATTGAAAAACTGTATTTATTAACTGTAGTTTGAGCTTTTCATGGCATTCGTCTGTAAACAATGCGTCTGTATTCCTATTCACCCTTGACGAACTCGTCAAATAAGATTTTCCTTTTGCTAACGGCTACCAAAAAGCCAAGTCATACCACAGAATAATGATACTTCCTTCCTTATGATGATTACTTCGCGAAGGTATTTAAAAAAATGTATGCTCAATAACAATATGGTGTAATTTAGCCTGTCTCAAGAGTCAAGCACCATTTTGTTGACAAACGTCAGTGATCGGCACTGCGCCGAAGCTATAGGGCTGACTTCGGTAAAATGATGTGACGTGAGGTGCCAAACTGCGGAAAATGGCGGAGGAAATACATGATTTAGCATATGAATTATCATGAATAATATTAACTACTTATTTACCTCTCAGTGACTTGAGTGAGGCAACTTAATAAAAGTACATTCTGTGTTTTTATTATTATTTAGGCAGTTAAATACTGCACAGTATTTAGTACACCATTTTCTTTATTTTCTTCCATCATACACAAGAATACGCGTGCGTGAGTCAATGTTCGCTCGTATGTGAGGCCTTGTCGAATAGTATCCTGTAGGTGGGCCATCGTGCGTGTTTTGTTTTCGATGTAAACTCGCGGAGATGAACAGGCCTGGTCATACTATCAATTGTTTCTTTCCATCACTCATAAACCGATATCCGAAAATAGCAAATAAATGCCGATGCTAAATATACCGGTATCCACGTGTTACGGTAGTCACGGCGCGCGCGCAGCCATTAAAGATCGTTTAGGACGCCGACGTGGCGCGGTAATTAATCGGGCAATTTTAGAGACATGAATACCAAGCTTGCGCGCACGCAACATGCGTTACGATAAGTTCCTTTGCCTCATGTTTAATAATATTTACCAGTTAGTCCTGCTGTCTGTCCTGCTCACTGCATCGGATTTTAATACAGTTTTCAGCATTTGATAGTGATTCAAGAAGACTAGGTAGAGGTTCTCTTGAGTAAAGTTGTTGCGTTTGAAAAGTATAGAATCAACACTTTTTGATCATCCACCAATGAGACACCCTGTATCGCCGGTTTTGTGTCTTACAAATTTTTGATTGTTAAAAATCTATGACCATCCAATCGACCAATGAGACACCCTGTATAGTATTGCCGGTTTTGTGTCTTACAAATTTTAGATTTTATAAGTTTTTAAAACTCTAAAATCTAGTGATTTTTATGATCTGTTGCTTGCTTTGATCTTTAGAGCAAAGGACTTCTACGACTAAGTAGTTAGATATTGAGAACCATTAGACAATGTCCTCAAAAAAGGTTGTGGGCACAGCCGCCAAAAATGAGCAAAGTGAGAGTTGGATCACTACATGCCAGGACTTAGTACATACATGCCTATCGATCTTATCAATAGATCTTAATAAAAACAAGCAAATTAGGGTTGTGGGCATGCCCACAGTGCCCACAACGGTGGATCCGCGCCTGCAATGTCGTTGATGAACAGTTCAAAAGTGTTTAATTTATTTTGTTATGTACCAAGATACTTATAAAGTTTGTCATGTCCAGTTTATTACAGTAAATGTTTATTTATCTCCTCGGATATTAGTGGATTGGAATACCTCACGCTCTGATGGGAACTGCGACTAACTAATTAGCAATTAGCCTCTAAAATTAACGCGGGAATAGCGTTGATCTATGTTTAATTATAAACTTTGTAGCTGACATCTTGCTTTTATGTGATTTATTGGATATTTAAGTATTCCTTCTTTGAAGTAATAACGAAAGTTATTTTGAAGGCACAATAAGTAAATAAATAAAACGAAAAGAAATGAATACCTACATAATACATAACTACGAATGTACCTAAGTAGGTACTCGTACCTATTTGGGATCGCGAAAACCGCGAAAGTTCTTCTTAACCAAAATGCAAATGGAAATCTTTGAAAAACTGTTTAATTCTATTTTTAGTACCAAATAAATATTTTTTCTTTCTTCTCTCTTTCTTTCTAATTTGTACTTTTTTAATGAAATGCGGTTGCTGTCAACTTTTCAATAAAATAATTCTACAAGTAATGTCTAAGTTAGACCTTAATACTACCTACCTGTTCCTACGTGTGGAAAAATATCCAATACAAACCTCGCTCTACTTCAATAATCTATCTAGAAAATCATAGATCATCTTAATGACCTAGGAAACTAACTAGGTATGTGGGAATGTGGGTATTTAACTACAACCTTAGTTGCGCACGCGTCGCTGCCACCCGCGGGTAATGGAGTGGCGCTGCACGCTGGCTCGAACTAATTGGCCATTGGCGTGTGGCCAGCCGACTATGGAGCATTCAACACTATTAAAGTTGGTAATAAGAAATTCGGTAAACATGCTTCTGAACCGGGCAGGAAAAGTATTAAATCTTGAGAAAATCTCGCATTGCAGCAGAAATAAAATTATCTTGAAGAAAAGTGTGTTTAGAAAGAATGAAAGAAAAGAATTAAATATTTGATTCAAGTACATAGGTACTAACAAGAACCTCAAGTAAAAAAATACGATAACTGAACTTGACATAGGTACTTCGTGTAAAAAAGAAGTTGCCTTTCCAGTTTCAGAGCCCTCTAACGCCATCTATTGAAAAATAGTAAGACTATCATTCGCACATACTGCCATCTAGTGGTGGTATTTACAACTTCCTGTCATACAAAAGCATGCTTCATTATTTTGACAGCTGTCACTCCTAAATGTGCTAAGATTATACGACTAAATTACATAGATTCACAAATTGAAAAACAGGAATAATGTTCAAAGCATAATGTATAGCTTCAAAGTAAAATGGAACACAGCTTACGTGCATTTTAAATTAGCCGGGNTAGTCGGCTAGCACCAGAATTCGATTGACGTTTGGAATGTCATTTTTCATTGAAAGTTATCACAGCGGGAATGCAGAAATCTCGTTTGTTGATTCCAAGTGATTGTACCTGAGCGATACGCGCCCATATAAATAAATTTCGCGTTACAATGCCGCCAAGTAGCTTACGAGTCGTGTACGCGTTCGCCAGAGAAATGCACCCAAAAACTAGCGATGTTTTCATTCAATACGGAACGGCCGGATTTCGCACAAAGTGAGTAAAAATTTGACCATTTTTGGCTATTTTCGTCAGCTACTGCATATTGAGGTCGTTCTGAGACAATTTATGTAATATTTGTAGCCCTTTCTCTAATATGTTGTAAATAGTGTCACGTAAGCAATTGATCTGTTACCAACGAATTGTCTTTAAATTATGAGTCATAAGATTTCCTACGTATTTGTAACGGGAAGTTGTTCGTCACTGCGACAGTGATTATGGTCAATGACTCCTGATAATGTTTTATTAGGCAAAACAATGACCTACGTCATAGGTTATGCTCACTTGCGGGCATGATAGCCGTTTTCGTCGCTTGGGACTTCACGAGTTTAACCGTTGGGCGATGCCTACGACCTTGCATGCACAATTAAAATATGTCCACATAAATGCATGGCATTGTCATTAATTAAAAGTACTTACATTATTCATGGCTTGCTAGATTATCCATAATGAACAAGCATTTGATATTGTAATTTGTTCTTGCTAATAGATTGGAACTACAGCAGTTAACAGTTTAAAAACTTTGAACTCATAATTAAAAGTATGTTTCATATCTAAAAAGATTTCTGTTAGATTCATAAATGACATTAATTCATGTTTAATATGCCAAATAACTTGCTCTACAAAAGATGTATTTAAAAATAAAGGTAAGCCCTACTATACTCTTTGATCTGATCACTAATAAGTAACAGACTGACCTAATAACTGTGTCAACTGTATAATATATTGCCGCATTTAAAAATACCACTTCGGAGCAACGGAAGTACCTTTCCATCGACCTGGCACGGAGCCAAGCTCTCCCAAACCAATACCCTTTATTGTTTGTTATTCGGGCTTTTATGTTTATTGGTTTTCCATTTATTATGATAATATTGATATTAAAACACTTTCATACACAAGATGCTTTAAATAAGTGTCTGTAAATCACTTTGAATATGTTTATTATTTTACGATGATGCGGTTTCACATTTATTATGTTCTTCATGTAAATAGAAGAGTTGTTTGCAACTAAAATGTTGTTACCAGATTGTAAATCTCATGCAAAATATAAAATAATGCATTTAATAAATTTCTGCAATGTTCAAATCAGGTAAGGGTAGTTAAACACATTCAATATTTACAAACATATTTAAATCATTATTTAGCCATTGCTTGATATCACTACAGAACAATATTATGATGTTTGACTTAACAAAACTTTAAATAGTGCTGAATCTAAAAATATGAACCTACAATTAATATAGCTAATTATAAATTGCATAACAATACTTGCTAATTGGCATGCCTAACGACCAATGAATTGTTGCTATATTTAGCAATCATAATGGAAACAATTCATTGCCTAATAAAGCAACTTGTTCTAATTTTTATATCCATTTATAAACAAAATTGTTGCTACTATAGTGATGAGTACTGGTTCTAGATAATAGCTTTCTTATCAGTTGCTATCAGTTCGGTTGTAGAAACTAATTGAGGATCGATTGATAAGCATGTAATCCCATTTTCTATACATAGATATGAAAGACTGGCAGTTTTGATTTTATTCATATTGCCATCCTATGCGAGTGACTTTTTATGTTTACGGAGAGCTCACAATATCATAAAATTATGTCTGGTTTATTTGCTGCAGATTTCAATGAAAATCTTTAAAAAAATTCCTAAAACCATAGTGTCCATTGATAGATATGAGTGTAGATAGCCTATTTGCTATACTTTTTAATAGAGATCCTCTTTAAACGTTACAGAGCCAATCTACTGGAACATGTAGTGTATCGCATGGGCCTGCTTGCAGTGATTCGCTCCCGCGTCAAAAATGGTAAGTTTACATAATTTCTGAATACTCGTCCATCCAATAAAGGAGCTAATGATTCATAAACAAAACTGGGCCACAGCATTATCTGTCTGTACTACATAAAGTGGTCTGTTGTTGGACTTGGACCTTAAGTTTAGATATGAATAAAAGGGACTATCCGAATCTCCCAAGGGCTAGATTGACCCGACACTATACCGAAGATATCCGGGACGTCAGTCTGTACGAGATCAGAACGCAGGACCGGTCGTTATGGAAATCCTTGGGGGAGGCCTTGTCCAGCAGTGGACTTCATTTGGCTGAAACGGATGAATCCGAATCTCAGACCTATTGCTTCAATTATCTTATTATAATAAGTCTGCAGCATCTTTAACTATTGTTTTCAGTTTGTCATACACTTTACATCTATTGCTGACCCTTATAAATCACAGCCAGTGAATTCTGTGAATCACAGTAATACGAGTGTATAGTCCAAAAATGTACCCAACAGGTGGACTGGTCTAAGCAGACGAGTGTGGGATGATCACTTCCTCGAAAAACTGACCGATGACTTCAAGATTCAAGTAGTGATGGGATGAAAAAAGCGGGAAATTGAGATGGCAGCAATGGAATGCCGTTGGCTGAAATGATGGCGATAAATAATCAATTTCCCAAGCTATGATCAATGTAATTGCGATAGATGTTCAAGATCTACTAGAAGCTAGAATATAATTATGCTTCTTGACTGCTTAATTCCACAGGTCGCACAATAGGCATGATGATCACCGCCTCGCACAACCTGGAGCCTGATAACGGGGTGAAGCTGATCGACCCCGACGGCGAAATGCTGGAACAGAGCTGGGAGGAGATTGCCACCAGGCTCGCTAATGTCAGGTGAGCATATCTCTACAAAATTATACCACTGTATGTTCATTTCTTCAACCAAAAGACGTCCAATGCTGGACTAAGACCTCTCCCAAAGATTTCTACAATCCAGGTGCTTTCTACGCTCTTGCCCAGATCGTCGGTGAACAAGGTGAACAGATTACCTTATAAACGTTACAGAAAGGTGCTGGATGAAGGCCCCTTTCAACTAGCCATTGTGGAAATCGTTGTTATGGGAATCGATCCCAAACCCGTCCCCCGGACACAGCCTGAGCTGGGGTCTGAGCCTACCGTGGCGCCCTCAGGCCGCGTCCGTAGTCCCCTCGATCGGGCCCACTAGAGTGAGCCCGCGTAGGCTGGACTTTGGTCCAACACCGCGGTGGGCAACCCTCTATTTGGGTTCGCCACTGATCGGGCGCCTAGTTATGCTCTCGATACGGCCCGATCACGCGGATGAGCCTGGGCTTCGCAGGCACACCGACGATCGTCAAACGGCTAGAGTACCTTCTGTACTCGCCACTCTGCCCCACAGTAGTTTGATTTTAAAAATAAGTGGACATACGATCGAAAGTCAAAATTTCACCAATTTCAAACAAAAATTGTTTTGGATAGCATTTTGAATGTTGATCAACATTTGTTATTATGCATTTTTCGTTAAAACGAGCCTCTCATGCTTAAAAAAAATATAACAAAAAAATTTGTATGGAGAAAATTCTTTTTTATTTTTTTTCTGACTACTGTTGCAAACTGTAGCGGTCAAACCTTATGTAGTCGTAAGTACCTATGGTGCTTAATATTACTACATAAATACTTTTTGCGGGCACGCGCGGCCATGCGAGTAATGGACATGCAAAATTTAAAATATTTTTATTTATGGATTATTGATTTTAATGCACTTAAAGTAATTATTATTAATAGAGAAATATACTTAGTCTAACTTAGTACAGCCCCCTATTACCTCATTTCACACTTAAACCTTTCAAACCAGAACCTAAGTTTGTAGGTATTAGGTAGCCTAAGTCGATTATTGACATTATAATATTCACTACTGGTCTACTGGTTATGGTGTAAGGTAGATTAGGTAGATATCTACCCTTTCACCTAGGTATATACCTACTTCTTGGCACTTATAATACCGACAGAAAAAAAGTCTTCAAGCAAGAACCCTTGATTTCAATTTTTACTTTCTAAAGTAGTCCTGAATAGATCCTTATATCATTTTGACTGTCATAATCGATTACAGTAGGTAGTGGGTTCAGTAAGGGTTGAACGGCTATAGTAAACAATACTTTTTTTTGGCTCTCTATTCAAGTTAGTCGAATAATTCTAGCATTAATGGGAATACCCGTAACCCTCTTCCACACATTATTCATCATCCATCATCATTTCCACAATGGCCGGTTGGTGGCGATCTGCATCCAGCGTCTTTCTGCTACCTTTATAAGGTCGTCAGTCTACCTTCTGGGTGGACGTCTACGCTGCGNTACTAGCTTTCCGCCCGCGGCTTCGCCCGCGTCGAATTTTGTCTGTCACAGAAAAACTTTATCGCCCGCGTCCCTGTTTCAAAAACCGGGATAAAAACTATCCTATGTTCTTTCCCGGGACTCAAACTATCTCTATGCCAAATTTCATCAAAATCGGTTGCGAGGTTTAAGCGGGAAAGCGTAACAGACAGACAGACAGACAGACAGACAGACAGACAGACAGACAGACAGACAGACAGACAGAGTTACTTTCGCATTTATAATATTAGTTGGGATAGATGATGCAGTTTCACATTTATTACGTTCTACATGTAAATAGAAGAGATGTTTGCAACTGAAATATAGTTACATGAATGTAAAACTCTACATGCAAAGTTTTAAATAAATAAATAAAAATTCTTTATTTCAGACAATTTTAAAAGTCCATATTAAACGGGTTCAAAAATAAACATACACACAAACAATAACAAATTCAAAAAACTTGTACCCTGTGCAATATGACTTAAAATAATTTCTGTAATTATGTGTTCTATTGATAGTCAAACACATTCAATGTTTACATACCTATTTGAATCATCATTTACCTACTCTGTATGGATCATAATGGTTTCAGACCACATATTATTATGATGTTTGAGTACCTACACAAAGTTAGTTTTAAACAGTACATGAATCTAAAAATATAATATAGCTAATTATTAATTGCATAACAATACTTGCTAATTGGCATGCCTAACGACCAGCGCATTGTTGCTATATTTAGCAATCATAATGGAAACAACTCATTGCCTAATAAAGCAACTTGTTCTAATTTTTATATCCATTTATAAACAAATTTTTGTTACTAATAAAGTGATGAGTACTGGTTCTAGATAATAGCTTTCTTATCACTTGCTATCAGTTCGGTTGTACAAACTAATTGAGGATCGATTGATAAGCATGTAATCCCATTTTCTATACATAGATATGAAAGACTGGCAGTTTTGATTTTATTCATATTGCCATCCTATGCGAGTGACTTTTTATGTTTACGGAGAGCTCACAATATCATAAAATTATGTCTGGTTTATTTGCTGCAGATTTCAATGAAAATCTTTAAAAAATTCCTAAAACCATGGTGTCCATTGATAGCTATAGTAGTGTAGATAGCCTGTATGCTATTCTTTTTAATAGAAATCCTCTTTGTTCGTTACAGAGCCAATCTACTGGAACATGTAGTGTATCGCATGGGCCTGCTTGCGGTGATTCGCTCCCGCGTCAAAAATGGTAAGTTTCGATTAAATTCAAAATAAATGATCCATAGTCAAGCTGTTTTATTTTAAAACTGTGCCGCAGCACTTTCTGTACTTTATTTTGTACTGTGGTCTGTTGTTGAACCTAAGTTAGACTTATTTGCGTTCCTTGGGGCTTACGCCCAGAACAGCAATAAGTAGACCATTCGCGCCAATTTATGAAACAGAGACAATGACATATTTAAAGCAATCGTGATAGGTGTTCAAGATAGATCTTGATCGTCTATGTAGATCGTTTCATCCACGAAAACGAGCCCCATTAATTTTTGGTCGAGAGTCATCCTAGACTGCATCTCACTTAACACCAGGTGCGATTGCGGTCAAATACCTGCCTTGGCTAGCATAAAAAAAAAAAAAAAAAAAGAGAGAAGCGCGGTGTGCGGGGAGATTGATCCGATCAATCCGAGCGTCATTATTGTAGTGTGCGTGTGCACTCATGGATAATTTAGCGTGTACCGATAACACTCAAACCTTAGCGGAACAATGGTGGGGGCATGGGACGTGTCTTTGTGGATGAATCGATCTATAGTAGACTAGACTCCAGGATCTACTTCTTGACTGCCTTATTCATAAATAACTTTTCCGTAGGTCGCACAATAGGCATAATGATCACCGCCTCGCACAACCTGGAGCCTGACAACGGGGTGAAGCTGATCGACCCCGATGGCGAGATGTTAGAGCAGAGCTGGGAGGAGATTGCCACCAGGCTCGCTAATGTCAGGTGAGCATATCTACAAAATTACCCCACTGTATGTTCATTTCTTCAACCAAAATACGTCCAATGCTGGACTAAGACCTCTCCCAAAGATTTCTACAATCCAGGTGCTTTCTACGATCTTGCCCAGATCGTCGGTGAACAAGGTGAACAGATTACCTTATAAACGTTACAGAAAGGTGCTGTTGTTATGGGAATCGATCCCAAACCCGTCCCCCGGACACAGCCTGAGCTGGGGTCTGAGCCTACCGTGGCGCCCTCAGGCCGCGTCCGTAGTCCCCTCGATCGGGCCCACTAGAGTGAGCCCGCCGTAGGCTGGACTTTGGTCCAACACCGCGGTGGGCAACCCTCTATTTGGGTTCGCCACTGATCGGGCGCCTTATGCGCTCGATACGGCCCGATCACGCGTACGAGCCTGGGCTTCGCACGCGCACCGACGATCGTCAAACGGCTAGAGTACCTTCTGTACTCGCCACTCTGCCCGGTGAAGCTGGAAAATCTCTTCAAGCTACCAGCGCGCGTCCCTTCAAAAAAGAAATGAGAATCGACGTTCAGTAGCTGAAATTATGATGATAGCTGTGATTGGATGTTTCTGGCGGAGGCTTGGAAGACGGCCGATCATCTAAAGATAGCAGAACTTAGCTGGATGTAGATTGGATGCAATCTGAAACTCTAAAGGGAGGACAACTCCCGCCTATGGCAAAATCCTTAAAAACAATTAAGTCCTCTTGAATGATTACATAAGATCAATACGAAACCCTGTACGAGGCCACAAGAAACAACGCGTGTTTGCTTTGCGGTCGGTAACAAATGTAGGTTTCCAGAACTTATTCCTTGAATCCATTGAAACCAGGGCGATGTGGTTGTTAAACTTTTATATGTGTAGACCTAGTTGAGCTTGACGATCTTTAGTCTGTGCTTTTCAAGACATTATGGTCACCTATATCCTGTATGTATTTTTAACCGAAATAAGGTCATAGCAGACTTATCAACTCGGAAAGGGATCAACGCCGTATCGCCTTTCGCGCGCTGTCAACCGCGAGGCGAGGCGTTTACGTTACGGTGCGGATAAGTGTGCGTGGCAGTATGGAGTTTCATACAAAGACTGCCTCGAGTTGATACGGCATACGGTAACGATCTCTTTCCGAGTTGATGAATGTGCTATGTTCTTTAAAATGGAGATTCTCAGTTTGAACCATATTATGATAGTCCGTGACATGCAGGATGGTTCGTGTTTGGCTGAACCAATTTTTATGCGGTGTTCAGAAAAGTATTTGTTATTTTTTGTGATAAAATAAAACCACAAACTACAATCGAAAAATCATCAATAAATCCTATTAATAGTACCATTAATGAGTGCAAGTGAATTAATAAATCTACACTAATTAGATGATAACAGAAGGAAAATTAACTAATAACAATTTGTATACGACAATGACTAAAATAGGTAGGTACAGTCAGCGTCAAATAGTTCGTGACATCCAAAGCCAAAAAATTCACAACACGTCTTTGTTACAATTGGAAAGGTTGTGTTGACAACTTTTTGGCCACTTTGGGTGTCACTATTTGGCGCTGACTGTACCTAGTTGTCGTTAAAATACATAAATTCCTATTTTTATCCTATAAAGATATTTCAAATACCGAAAATATTAATAAATTCAACACCTTTACACTGGCGTGAGGCCAAAATATGATTCCACGTCTGAACTCTTAACCCAGAATGACATAATTCCCTATCTATGTCAATGGGGTGGAGGAATTTAGTTCTATTTCCAGTGTCTAGGCTATAAACCGAACGGCCTAGCTGACACTAACGACTGCAGCTACGGATAACAGACGATGGGTTAAAGTTAGGCGCCTGTCACACCGCGACAAGAAAGTAAGACCCGGTTTTCACCAAGGCGCGGAGCAGAGAAAAGTCGGGCTGTTAAATTTTTCTTTAGAATTTGACAGCAGTGGCGGTGTGGCGCCGTGCGGAGCGTAATTTAAATTGACGTTTCGTATAGAAATGTCATTTTAAAACAGTGTTCAACAACTGTGTAACTTTTTATTAGTAAGGGGGTGATTGATTATTTAAAACACTTCTCTGCTCCGCTCCGCTCCTCCTTGGAGTAAACTGGGCCTATTTATTAACTTTTTCTCGCCAAGTCACGCAAAACAAAATTAAACGTCAAGTTCCGATAGTCTACAACTTGGTCGCCAATAACAACCCAATCAATGAACGCCAAGTTTGTCCAGATCAGAGGAGTTCACAATTAAAGATCGACTTCCCTCAGTGCAAAGCGGATGATAGTTGACAATTAGTTAGGTTTTTATTGGCAGTCAAGCTATGAAATCGGGTTTAATCTAGCTAATTTAATTAGCAACGGCATCAATTTCATTCAACCTTTATTTTATCGTTCAGTCACTCTTTTCAGAATTTACTAAAGCTTTCCGATTCTGAAAGTATGTAGTATGTTTGCTATGTCCCTTAAACAATATTGTTTTGCAATGTCCGTACGGTCATGCTATCAAGAACCAATGGATATTTAACTTTATATCTTTAGAATAAGGCTCAGAATCAATTCAGGCAACTTCTATGTAGACAGGTAGAATCCCGCGAGTCGGGCGGATATCTCGGTACCTATTTTTAGAAGCAGTTAAATAATTGCGCTGCGAAGACGGTGTTTAAACTATTAAAGGTATAAGACAAGACGTTTTATAGGTCTTGAAGATCTTGAATCGTAGTAGGAAAAGTAGTGAGAGAATTAGAATTTCAATATTATCTGATAACTGCAAAAAACAAGCAGCAGTGTGTGAATAGTACCTATTTCTTATTCACGAGTCGAAGAATGAACCTCAGAAATGCGTGAGAAAAAAAAGTAAAACAGAATTGTGAAAAAAAATTAAAGCTTGTCAGACACAATCATGCTAGGGATTGTGTACAGACGGCGGCACGTCAAGCTGTGAGGTCTTAAGCGGTTGTAATAGAGGCGAGTTTGCAACAGAAATGTTTAGTCTTGATGTGCTGATGTCTGTACATACATACGTATACAATCCCAAATATTCAACTCTAGTAGATACTAGAAAATTTTAAAACATTATTTCCTTCTATTTTTTATAGTTACCTAAAATTACTGTTTTCTTTTCCACAGTGACAATGACTTAGAATCAACGACGGGCGAGGTGATCAAGCAGGTCGGCGCTGATATGTCTCTGAAGGCCAGCGTCTTCATTGGAATGGATACCAGGTAACAATTTCATTTATTATTGTAATACCTGCTTATAAATACACAAGCTTCGCTTACTTCTATGTGGCGACCTGTTGGGCTGCGTTTCCACCAGAGAAGTACTAAGAAGATAAGCGATGCAAAGGACTAGCAGTTTGTCGCTCGCCTTCATCCATAGCACCCATTCCTCGCACACATGCCTTTGTATGTAGAAAAATCTAGCTCCACTAAGCTGTTTCCATAAGAGCTATACTGACCAAGGCGAGGTAAATGAAGCGATCGTTTCAGCCAAATGACGTCGACTGCTAGACAAAGGCCTCCCCCTAAGGATTTCCATAACGACCGGCATCCAGGTACTTGCCGCGACCTTCACCAGATCGTCGGTACACCTAGTGGGTAGCCTGCCCAAACTACGTCTTCCGGCCCGTGAATGAAGCTATACTTTGTTCGATTAGTTCTTTTCATCACATCCCTCGCTTCGCTACCTCCCACATTTCTGGTGAAAACGCAGCCTTTGTGGTTTGTTAATGTTATTTTTGTTCATTTACCTAATTTTGCTTACCTTGGCCTTCCTAATATAAATAAAAATAAATTACTTCCAGATATACAAGCCCTCGCTTAGCGGCGGCGGCGGCTAACGGCGTTATCGCCCTTAAAGGCACCCCCAAAGAGTTCGGAATCGTCACCACTCCCATCCTTCACTTCTGCGTCAAGTGTCGCAATGACAATACGTACGGCACGCCCACCGAAGAAGGTAACCTTTTGCGTTGTGTTTATCTGGATGACCTTTTATTTGGCAACAATAAGCATTTAGATGCCAAATAATTAAATGATACAGTTTAAACATTCTGGTATTTTAAGCAGTTGTTCTATTTTGCAACAACAAAACTATGTGCTGTCGACTGTACATACTTACTTTTTATTAGTATGAAAATCAGTGGCGTGACGTCATTTATTTTTTATTTTTAAAGTTACAAACACCCGTATTCTCAAACGATACGAGGGGCGGCTGAAAAGTTTTGAGCCTAAGTGTCTTCAAGTGTTATTATTGACTNGCGACTTTAGTTCGTTTACGGATCTCCTCCTCATTTCTGATTCGATCTCGTAAAGAAACACCAAGCATAGCCCTCTCCATGGCACGCTGTGCAATTTGGAGCTTATTTATAAGGCCTATATTGAAAGGCCACGTTTCCGAGCCGTATAGCCACACATTATTGCAGGTCCATTATGTTCACCTCTACCTATAGTTTTATATGCCAGCTAACGTACACAAACTGCTGATACGTGGTGCAGATAATGTGATAACATTTTGGTGTACTGCCTAACTGCCTATTGGATTCTTTCGAAAAAAGCATGTGAGTGACTTAGATTATTTTGAATACTGTTCAAGATAAGTGAATAGGCTAAAATATCTTTTTTGATTGTTTTTCGAACGAAGATAATAATTGAAGACATGAATGGAAGAAGGTGATAAATGTCAGATTTCAGATTTTTCTCTGTTCTATGTTTGGATAAAGGTGTTATATTTCAAACCTTATGATTGAGGCTACTTGATGATCGTGTTATGTACTTACGTTATCTTTTGTAATAGACGAAGGGAAAGGAACTTACAACTCTTTAAAGGAGCAAAAAAAAAAGAATCTTTTTGCGAAAGTATACTCTAGAAAGTAAAAAAAAATCTTTCATAACCATTGAAGTCAAGGGTTTTTGCTTGAAGACTTTTTTAACCATGTCTGTCGGTAATATAAGTGCCAAGAAGTAGGTATATACCTAGGTGAAAGGGTAGATATCTACCTAATCTACCTTACACCATAACCAGTAGACCAGTAGTGAATATTATAATGTCAATAATCGACTTAGGCTACCTAGTACCTACAAACTTAGGTTCTGGTTTGAAAGGTTTTAGTGTGAAATGAGATAATAGGGGGCTGTATTAATAATTACTTTAAGTGCATTAAAATCAATAATCCATGAATAAAAATATTTTAAATTTTGCATGTCCATTACTCGCTTGGCCGCGCGTGCCCGCAAAAAATATTTATGTAGTAATATTAGGAACCATAGGTACTTACGACTACATAAGGTTTTACCGCTACAGTTTGCAACAGTAGCCAGAAAAAAAATAAAAAAGAATTTTCTCCATACAATTTTTTTTGTTATATTTTTTTTAAGCATGAAAGGCTCGTTTTAACGAGAAATGCCTAATAACAAATGTTGATCAGCATTCAAAATGCTATCCAAAACAATTTTTGTTTCGGTGAAATTATGACTTTCGATCGTATGTCCACCTATTTTTAAAATCAAACTACTGTGTGCCCGGTGAAGCTGGAAATGCTCTACAAGTTACCAGCGCGTGTGCCGCGTGCCTTAAAAAAAAAGAGAATCGACGTTCAGTAGCTGAAATGATGAAGTTAGCTGGGATTGGATGTTTCTGGCGGAGGCTTGGAAGACGGCCGATCATCTAAAGATAGCAGAACTTAGCTGGATGTAGATTGGATGCAATCTGAAACTCTAAAGGGAGGACAACTCCCGCCTATGACAAAATCCGTAAAAACAATTAAGTCCTCTTGAATGATTACATAAGATCAATACGAAACCCTGTACGAGGCCACAAGAAACGACGCGTGTTTGCTTTGCGGTCGGTAACAAATGTAGGTTTCCAGAACTTATTCCTTGAATCCATTGAAACCAGAGCGATGTGGTTGTTAAACTTTTATATGTGTAGACCTAGTTGAGCTTGACGTTATGTCTGTCTGTACTTTCCAAGACATTATGGTCACCTATATCCTGTATGTATTTTTAACCGAAATAAGGACACCGTATCGCCTTTCGCGCGCTGTCAACTGCGAGGCGAGGCGTTTACGTTACGGTGCGGATAAGTGTGCGTGGCAGTATGGAGTTTCATACAAAGAATACTGCCTCGAGTTGATACGGTTACGATCCCTTTCCGGGTTGATGAATGTGCTATGTCCTTTAAAATGGAGATTCTCAGTTTGACCCATATTATGATAGTCCGAGGCGCGCGAGATGGTTTGTGTTTGGCTGAACCAATTTTTATGCGGTGTTCAGAAAAGTATTTGTTATTTTTTGTGATAATATAGAACCACAAACCATTATCGAAAAATCAACAACAAATCCTATCAATAGTACCATTAATGAGTGCAAGTGAATTAATAAATCTACACTAATTAGATGATAACAGTAGGAAAATTAACTAATTACAGTTTGTAAACGATAATGACTTAAATACCTAGTTGTCATTAAAATACATTAATTCTATATTTATCCTATAAAAATATTTCAAATACCAAAATTATTAATAAATTCAACACCTTTACACTGGCGTGAGGCCAAAATATGAATCCACGTCTGAACTCTTAACCCAGAATGACATAAGTCCCTATCTATGTCAATGGGGTGGAGGAATTTAGTTCTATTTCCAGTGGGTAGGCAATAAAACCGAACGGCCTAGCTGACACTAACGACTGCACCTACGGATAACAGACGATGGGTTAAAGTTAGGTCTGCCTGTCACACCAACGACAAGAAAACGAATGACCATCAACAAATTTTTTGCTCATAAAATATCGTACACATCAAATTATCTAGGCTAATGTCAAGTTTTGATAATTTTGTAACTGGATTAAATGAGAATATATGACTGGCGAACCGCACTGTAGACTAGGGTGAAGTCTAATCGCACACTCACTGCGGGCACCCGTCGCACAGTCGCAACAGCAATATAATTACGCGCGAGCGATAAGGATGGGTAGCTTGGGGTCATTGGACAAAATTCTACGTGCTCGCAGACCAGACTATAGATGGTCCCTTGCCGAGTTTTGAGACCGCGAAGGGATCATTGCTCATCGAATATTATATTGACAGTTCTTGTCGCTGGGACAAGCTAGAAGACAGGATAATCACTGACACATAAATTCAAAGTATGATCCATAGTGTTTCGAATCTGATTTTAGCAACTGCGTTAATTTTATCATCATCTCGATTTACCAAACTTTACTGAAAAAAGTAATTTAGTATGTCTGGTATGTCCCTTATACAATATTGTTTTGCAATGTCCGTACGGTCATGCTATCAAGAACCAATGGATATTTAACTTTATATCTTTGGAATAAGGCTCAGAATCAATTCAGGCAACTTCTATGTAGACAGGTAGAATCCCGCGAGTCGGGCGGATATCTCGGTACCTATTTTTAGAAGCAGTTAAATAATTGCGCTGCGAAGACGGTGTTTAAACTATTAAAGGTATAAGACAAGACGTTTTATAGGTCTTGAAGATCTTGAATCTTGATGTAGGAAAAGTTGTGAGAATATTAGATTTTCAGCATTTATAAGAATCGAGAAAAAAGTTAATTTCCTTGTTGGATTAAATAAAACGGAGATAAAATTGTATAAATTAGAATTGTTTGGGATTAAACGAAAGGCACTAAAAATCTTTTACAAAACTAGGTACAAAAATTCGAGCACCACAATCCCCGGTTTTCGGATATAACAGTTCTTTTTTTCATGACAAATAATTCTGGAAAATGTAGAAGAAATGTTTTTATGGTTACCTAATATAACTGTTTTCTTTTTCACAGTGACAATGACTTAGAATCAACGACGGGCGAGGTGATCAAGCAGGTCGGCGCTGATATGTCTCTGAAGGCCAGCGTCTTCATCGGAATGGACACCAGGTAACAATTTCATTTATTATTAAATTGTAATAGCTATTTAAATGTGACACAAGCTTTGTTTTCTTCTACTTAAAGACTATTATACTTCAGCAGGACGTCACTCGTCCGTTTGCAAGATCGCATACTAACTTTTGGTGATTTTAATTTTTGTTCCAACGCAGGCAGACATAAAATTTATGTGCGGTCCTGCAAACGGACGACAAACGTCTGGTTAAAACGTCTTATCTGAAAGAACCCTTAGTGTTATTAATTCATCTACCTCATGTAATTTAAATTCAGATTCTTTTCTAGTATGTAGGCCCTTTTCAGGGCACTTATACATACAAGTCAATAATAAAGCTCCTACTACCACATCGGGATAACACATCGGCTGCTGCTGAGAATTGGTGAAAGAAATTTATAGCTTTAGCCTTCTTAATATAAAAAAAATTACTTCCAGATATACAAGCCCTCGCTTAGCGGCGGCGGCGGCTAACGGTGTAATCGCCCTTAAAGGCACCCCCAAAGAATTCGGAATCGTCACCACTCCCATCCTGCACTTCTGTGTCAAGTGTCGCAATGACAATACGTACGGCACGCCCACCGAAGAAGGTAACCTTTTACATTGTGTTTATCTGGATGACCTTTTATTTGGCAACAATAAGCATTTAGATGCCAAATAATTAAGTGATACAGTTTAAACATTGTGGTATTTTAAGCAGTTGTTCTATTTTGCAACAACAAAACTATGTGCTGTCGACTGCACATACTTACTTTTTATTAGTATGAAAATCAGTGGCGTGACGTCATTTATTTTTTATTTTTAAAGTTACTAACACCCGTATTCACAAACGATACTTGCTTAAGTGAAGCAGAAAATCGAACGCACAGCGTTAAGCTCTGTGATTGGTTCGAGTATCACCCTGTGCGTCCACGCGCACTATGAGACCTCATAGTAATGTATGTAAATACGGGCGTGAATTTCGATCACTTGGTAAAACAATTGTATTGAGATCATTTATTTTTTAGCCACAATAACTACATAGATGAAATAAACAATTTTATCTGGTGGCTTGACCCGTAGACCTATTAATCGCGCCACGATAAGCTTTTCTCACATCATTTTATCGATTTTACATGATAAACCCTATGTTTGTCAAGGTGTGGATCTTATCACGGCGCGCAATATAGCACGACTTACGCCCGTATTCACAAACGATGCTTGCTTAAGTGAAGCAGCAAATCAAACGCACAGCGGTTGAATAGAGCTCTGTGATTGGTTGTTGTGTTACCCTGTGCGTCCACGCGCACTTTGAGACCTCATAGCGATGTTTGTGAATACGGGCATTAGTATTTTCTACTCATGTAGCTTAAATTTAAAAAAAAACTATTTGTTGTCTGATATCATACAAGATTTGGTTAATTAAGAACTAGATGGCGCTCTGTGAAATGTTCAAGTAAATTATCTACTATAATAAATTTCACCTTACAGGCTACTACGAGAAAATAGTGGGCGCGTTCAAGAACATTCGCCAAAAGTTGCCAGTGTTCGGCGAATACAACACCACTCTATACGTGGACGGCGCCAACGGAGTGGGCGGGAAGAAGCTGAACATCATCAGGAAGAGCCTGGATGGCGAGCTGGATCTCAACCTCTACAACTTGGGCGGTAATGGAGGGAAACTCAATTTGAATGTGAGTAGACGACACAAAAGATTTATAGCGCGCTCAAGGAAAGTTGAGGCGAACACGCAACACATGGCCTCAACTCTCGTTGCGCGAACTGTAGTTAGTAGGAACTTTCGAGAACATTCGCCAAAAGTTTCGGCGATGAGCTGGATCTCAACCTGTACAACTTGGGCAGGAACGGGAGGAAACTTAACTTGAACGTAAGTGGACGACATCATACTACCCGATCAGGCTAAATGCGCACCTCGCTGGAATGCGACTCTCCTTACACTCAATCGCACACCTCCCAGCGTTTGCCCCGACCCTACCAGCGCGTCGATGTGACGTCACGGCTGGCAGGTATTATTATAGGTCGCTCAACGAAAGTTGAGGCGAATATACTACCACTGATGTAATATTTAAATACAGAACAAACTAAACTACACATTCAAATTCAAATATCGAATTCACTAGCTACCTCGCTCTTGTTAAATGTCTGCAAGCGAGAACTCAAATATCTCAAATACTCGACGCACAGTGGTGCTACAGCTTTGGTGCCATAGTAACAAATGCTAAGGCGGACGTATTCTGTCAGAATACAGCACTTTTTTTTTATTGGCCGACACTTTAGATTTTGAACAAAAAATGTATGAATAGTCGATGACTTTAGATCTCAAGTACTCGACGCACAGTGGAGCTACGGCTTTGGTGCCATAGTAACAAATGCTAAGGCAGACGTATTCTGTCAGAATACAGCACTTTTTTTTGTTGGCCGGCACTTTTGATTTTGGACCAAAAATATATGAAACGTGGATGATGTCCTTTACCGATTATTGTCTATGACTTACAGGTTACAACACTGATGTGTCAGAGACAACATGGAGATAAAACATAATTTTAAACTTTAAGTCAATTTGACAAGTCTCACAAATTTTCATCGTCCACATATTTTGCTAAAATAATTTGTTTAAAGATTGATTCCAAACTTGTATAATCGTGAGAATAAAGTTGGTTTCATGGGGTTGTGAAATAATGTGTATGATATTATGAACACGTAAGTGATTATGGTGTAATTGTGTGCACAAGTGTTTGTTTACATTTAAGGAAATTTCTAAAGAATTTAGGTATACGTGGTTTGGTTTCGAGATCCTTTGCTAGTAAGGACGACAACGCTTATTTTCATAAATTAATATAGTTTTTTTGTTATTATTATACCTCAAAATGTTCATATTATGTCCCCAGTGCGGCGCAGACTTCGTGAAGGTGTCTCAGAAGCCCCCAGTGGGAGTCGAACACGCGCCCTTCCAGCGCGTGGCTTCCTTAGACGGAGATGGCGACCGGATCGTCTACTACTATCTCGATGACAAGTATGTGGCTAGTTATTTACTTTTTTTTCTTTTGGTAGTACGAGAGGCGACCGTAAGAAACCCTACGTCATTTGATACTAAGATAAGCTCCATGGCACACGTTCAGGAAAGTTGTGCTAAGCTTGGAAAAATTAATTATTAAATTCCGATTTGGCCGATAGTAATGGGTCATAAGAACTCCTCCGCTCGGTTTCGATATAGTGACGTCATCGTTCCCGCGCCGGGCGGTCAGTGAACTTTTTTAGTAATTTGTCCATAACTTCGTCAATTTTTGTCGTAGAACAAAAATTTTTTGACTGTATATTAAGGATTTCTTAGCCCTATAAATCTACATTCACAACTGAAAATAGTAATGAACCTCGTTGGCGTAATATCCCCCATGTTGGTACCCGCTGAAAACCAGCTTCGTGACTTGACGACTTATGTCCTTTTCAGCATGGCTCAGTAATTTAACCTCTGTACATGTGTGCACATAACTGTTAATGCTGAATAAAGGTATTCTATTCTATTCTATTGTAAACGGAACGGCGAAATAAAATCGAGCTTGGGTTCATGGGATTTGTCTTTTCGAGCACTTTAGTGCTAGATGAGATGTCCAGGGACCTGATCCATCATCAGTCGAGAGGAACGAGTCCATAGGAACTCCTGAACGATTTTTTGGCCTTTTAGTGCAGTGATAGCGTTTTTAGTTTTTTTTAATTATTAATTTATATTTTCAGAGACAAAATGAACCTCCTTGACGGTGACCGCATAGCGACGTTATTGGCCAGTTACATCACCGAACTCCTAAAGGCGAGCGAGGCGACCGAGCTGAAGTTGGGGCTGGTTCAGACTGCGTACGCTAACGGCGCGTCTACTAAATACATTACTGAGGAGTTGGTGAGTGTGTTAGGCGATTATCACACTGCACCGCGCTCCGCCGCGGTCCGCGTGGCGACATATTGTAACGAATCCCGCGCGCAAACGCGTTGTCAGTGTGTTGTGCCGCGCGTGTTTTCTATACAAACTGAGGTACTTGCATATAATGATTAAATCTGTCGTCCCGCGTACCGCGGCGGAACGCGGTGCAGTGTGATATTCGCCTTAGATTGTACATTTCAATACTGTACATTTCAAACGTAAATGAACTTAAGGATTCGTCGCTTGAAAGTAAAATAGAATATTTTAAATGTCAAGTAAATCTCTGTTCTGATCTGATCCAATGTTGGTGTAAAATAGATTGCATATAAGGCTTCTAAGGCAGATAAATTGTGCGTATGTCGCACTGAAAATTGCGTTTATTACGCTGGTTCAGGGAATTTGATTTGAAAGTGGACTGTATAGGTTTTTTATAATAGAAAATTGATGAAAGGTAGATCAGTCCTCGCAACACAGAGACAGGTAATCTGAGCTTCACCAACCTTAAAATCGACCCTCGCCACGGACGGAAGCCAACCTGCAGACGCACGGCGTTCTGGGCGGTGGAGCACTGCCAGAGTATGCTCGGAGCTGATGCTGATGATGATGATGGTACGCGGAGCACGGCTACACGCGAATTATAGCAAAAGACACGGTCTTTTCAGGGAGTGAACGTCACTCGTAGACTCGCTAAGCGTGCGCGACACACGGGTGTGCGCGATGAGCGTCGCCGGGCAAGTGGGGCTTGCTCCGACCATTGGACGATGGTAGGAAAATAAAGTTGGCGAAGCAAATGTGAGAATACCCGCCAATATTTTTACAAGGACTGAACATACCCCCCACCGAAATCACTGTGATGATTTCTTGTAATCATTATTTGTGACAGGTATGAAATAAAATAAATTTAGTGCCTAACTACCTTACATAGACCTAGTTATAAAATTAAAATTAAAATTAGAAAGTGTATGTTATTTAAATTAATTTGCATAGGGCAAAGGGCAAACTTTATTAACGGGTCTTTTAAAGATGCCATTTTGAGTTCTTACAGTAATGATGCGGACAACATTATCAGGTCCAGGATGAATTTCTTCAATCCTGCCTCGCGGCCACTGTAAGGGTCGAGTTAGATTAGATTTAAGCAATACTAAATCTCCCACTTTTAGATTAGGTGCAGAAGAAAACCACTTTTCCCTCTGCTGAAGAGTATGAAGGTAGTCATTCGACCAACGCCTCCAAAAGGTTTGTGAGATCTTTTGGACTGATTGCCAACGAGACAATCTGTTCAGAGGAACGTCCTCAACTTCATATTCCGGGACGGCAAGTAAATTTTGACCCACCAAAAAATGACCAGCGGTCAGGATATCAAACTCATTGGGATTATTTGACATTGCACACAAAGGCCGAGAGTTCATTACGGCTTCTATTGTTATGAATAAATGTCATTAATTGTGAAAATGTGGGTATTTCATTTTGATTAGAGCCTTGTTCAAAAGACTTTCTTGTACTTGGGTCTAAAGCCCTTAAAGCAATATGACACATAATAATGCTGTTTAAATCTTGTATGTTAAGCGCTTCAATGGCCTTATATGAATTCTCAAATGTTTCTATGAACAAATTTAAATTATTTGAGGACTCTTTAGTGAGTGGAGAAAAATTTAACATTTTATCTAAGTATCTTCCGACAAGCAACCTATTATCTTGATATTTATCAAGTAAGCTTTTCCATACTAAATCATAGTTGTTCGCAGAAATTGGAATGCTTTTTACGATATTTAATGCCGAACCTTTAGTACATGATAACAAATAATGAAATTTATCTATCTTCGGAATATTAGGTTGGTTATGAACCAATGAACAAAATGTTTCATAGAAGGTGGTGAAGTTTTCTAACTCACCGTCAAAACNAGATGACCACAAGTCAGGGCGGCCAGATTTCGCCATTAACGAATAAAATAATGAAAATTTAATGAATCTTGCTTTAGAGATCAGCGAATTAAGCTGTGACAGATAGCTGAAGCCATAGGCATTAGCAAGGAACGTATTGGCGATATTTTTCATACTTATTTGCACATGAAATAGGGGTGCGCGCGATGGGTGCCAATAATGCTCACGCCGCTCGACAACCAGCGTCGAGTCACAACTTCGCAGGAGTTTTAGGACATCTTTGGCCATAATCCTAACAAATTTTTTCTCACATTGTCACTATTGATAAGTAATAGATCCGGCAGTACGATGTAGAGTCAAAATAAGAGTCAATGCAATGGATTTAAATGGGAAAACGCCGCCGCGGAAATTCAAAGAGGAGCGATCGACACCCAAGCTCATAGCCACTATTTTTGGGATTGTGGAGGATTTTTATTCATTGACTACCTATTTAAAAAAAACTACAATAAACGGAATTTATTATAATGTACTGTTGATAAGAGTGCGTCAAATGGTTGTTGAAATATTAAGAGGCAAACTGGCGAAAGGAAATCTGTTATTGCAAGACAATTCGCCCGCGCACATCGCGCATGTTGCATGGCTTGCTCCGGGTAAAATTGGATTTCAAGAAATTAATCACCCACCACACAGTTTAGTCCAAATCCTTAGCAATTTTTTCTAATTCTCAAATTGGAAAAAAGACCTTCAGGAACGAAGATTTTTGAGTGACAAAGAAATGAAGGCGGCGTTAAAGGCTCATTTCGAAGGCAAAGATTGCGAATTTTTTTTCAGTGGGTTAAAAGCTCTTTTACACAAATGTAAGAAGTCCGTTGTAATAGAGGGAGATTAAATAGGAAAATATATTTTTTATACTTTTCTATCGGCATTTTTAATACCCTAGGCTCAAAACTTTTCAGCCGCCCCTCGTACCTTCTTAAGTGAAGCAGAAAATCGAACGCACAGCATTAAATAGAGCTCTGTTATTGGTTCGCGTGTCACCCTGTGCGTCCACGTGCACTGTGACACCTCATAGTAATGTTTGTGAATACGGGCGTGAATTTCGATCACTTTGCAAAATAAAATATAAGAGAACATTTATTTTCAGGCCACAATAACTACATAAATGAATAAACAATTTTATCTGGTGTCTTGACCCGTAGGTTTATATTATAATATACACTCCACGATAAGCTTTTCTCGCATCGCGGCATCGTTTTGTCGATTTTACGTGATAACCCCTGTGTTTATCATCTAAAATCATCGATAGGATTTTATGACGGTGCGCAATATAGTACGACTGAGTCTTCTACGCATGTAGCATAAATTATCTAAAAAAAAACTAGACAAAGAGCTGGTGAACGCCAGACCTACGTCATTTTATAAAAGCTGAAAGTTTGTCAGCATAATGCTCCCAATATAGGATAGAATGTTGGTGAATCATGAAGTTTGGGTCATCGTGGCTTTGGCAGCTATCCTAAAAAAACTGTCTGGCAAGGAGTTGGTATTGTCAAAACTGTCTGGCAAGGAGTTGGTACTGTCAAAACTGTCTGGCAAGGAGTTGGTACTGTCAAAACTGTCTTGCTGATGTGTAAACAACTTCTAATCATTGCCCAAATATTATTCATAAAAATCTGATTTCATACAAGATTTGCTTAGTTAAGAACTAGATGGCGGTCTGTGAAATGTTCAAATAAGCTCTACATTCTACAGGGTGTTAGGTAAATGGGTATATGAGCCGACACTAGCCCATGTTAACATGGTCATATAAATGGTATGGTGAAGTCAGAAAATTCATATCTTAATTTTAATTATTTTAATTTTCATACAAATCGGATTTTATAAAAAATATTTTGTATGAAAATTAAAAAAAAATAAATGATAATATCAAATTTCTGACTTCACCATACCATTTATATGCCCATGTTAACATGGGCTAGTGTCGGCTCATCCCAACTAATATTATAAATGCGAAAGTAACTCTGTCTGTCTGTCTGTCTGTCTGTCTGTCTGTTACGCTTTCCCGCTTAAACCTCGCAACCGATTTTGATGAAATTTGGCATAGAGATAGTTTCAGTCCCGGGAAAGAACATAGGATAGTTTTTATCCCGGTTTTTGAAACAGGGACGCGCGCGATAAAGTTTTTCTGTGACAGACAAAATTCCACGCGGGCGAAGCCGCGGGCGGAAAGCTAGTATACCCATTTACCTAACACCTTGTATATTTATTTATAAATTTCACCTTACAGGCTACTACGAGAAAATAGTGGGCGCGTTCAAGAACATTCGCCAGAAGTTGCCAGTGTTCGGCGAATACAACACCACTCTATACGTGGACGGCGCCAACGGAGTGGGTGGGAAGAAGCTGAACATCATCAGGAAGAGCCTGGACGGAGAGCTGGATCTCAACCTCTACAACTTGGGCGGGAACGGAGGGAAACTCAATTTGAATGTGAGTAGACGACACAAAAGATTTATAGCGCGCTCAAGGAAAGTTGAGGCGAACACGCAACATATGGCCTCAACTCTCGTTGCGCGAACTATAGTTAGTGGGCGCTTTCGAGAATATTCGCCAAAAGTTTGTTTTTACCTACAACGAGGAAGCTCTTGGGCTGCATCTCACCTGGTAAATAGTGATGATCACGCTGAAGGTAGAAGCGAGCTTCACCCAGAATCCTCAACCACAGAGAAACTGGCTATCTTACCTCCAACTGCTGGTACACAACAATGCTGCTATCATTGTTGTTATGAGCGAAGGCGAACCTTAACTTCGGACTCCTCCTATGTTCTTCTGATTAATTTCGTTGCGGGTCCAATGACAGTTTAACTTTCCCCCGGGATAAACTTGACCTTCACTGATTGGGTTTTTATTGGCGGTCAAGCTTTAGATCCTGGCTACACAGGAGTTGCAGCGGTGGGAACGAGAGGTGGGAATAGTCCCGTATCATTGTTGTTATGGACAGACTTAGGTAAGATGGTGGTAGCTAGCCTGGTAGTTACCAGTATTCGAGTATATCACTCTTTATACGTGGACGGCGCCAACGGCGTGGGCGGGAAGAAGTTGAACATCCTCAGGAAGAGCCTGGATGGCGAGCTGGATCTCAACCTCTACAACTTGGGCGGCAACGGGGGGAAACTCAACTTGAATGTGAGTAGACGAAACAAAACATTTATAGCTCGCTCAAGCAAAGTTGAGGCGAACACGCAACACATGACTTCAACTCGCGTTGCGCGAACTATAGTTAGTAGGAACTTTCGAGAACATTCGCCAAAAGTTTGTTTTTATCCACAACGAGGAAGCTCTTGGCCTGCATCTCACCTCGTGGAAAGTGATGATCAGGCTGAAGGTAGAAGCGAGCTTCACCCAGAATCCTCAACCACAGAGAAACTGGCTATCTTACATCCAACTGCCGGAACACAACTATGCTGCTATCATTGTTGTTATGAGGTAAGGCGAACCTTAACTTCGGACTCCTCCTATGTTCTTCTGATTAATTTCGTTGCGGGTCCAATGACAGTTTAACTTTCCCCCGGGATAAACTTGACCTTCACTGGTTGGGTTTTTATTGGCGATCAAGCTGTAGATCCTGGCTACACAGGAGTTGCAGCGGTGGGAACGAGAGGTGGGAATCATTGTTGTCATGGACAGACTTAGGTAAGATGGTGGTAGCTATATAGCCTGGTAGTTACCAGTATTCTAGTATAAGACTCTCTATACGTGGACGGCGCCAACGGAGTGGGCGGGAAGAAGCTGAACATCATCAGGAAGAGTCTGGATGGCGAGCTGGATCTCAACCTCTACAACTTGGGCGGGAATGGAGGGAAACTCAACTTGAACGTGAGTATAGTCTGGCCTGCGAGCAATAGAATTTTGTCCAATGACCCCAAGCTACCCATCCTTATCGCTCGCGCGTAATTTATATTGCTGTCGCGCTCGCACACTCACTGCGGCCACCCCTCGCACAGTCGCGTAAGCAATATAATTACGCGCGAGCGATAAGGATGGGTAGCTTGGGGTCATTGGACAAAATTCTACGTGCTCACAGACCGGGCTTTAGAAAAGATTATTATAGCGCGCTCAACCACAGTTGAGGCGAACACGCAACACATGGCCTCAACTCTTGTTGCGCGAACTATAGTTAGTGGGCGCTTTCGAGAATATTCGCCAAAAGTTTGTTTTTACCCACAACGAGGAAGCTCTTGGCCTGCATCTCACCTGGTGAATAGCGATGATCACGCTGAAGGTAGAAGCGAGCTTCACCCAGAATCCTCAACCACAAAGAAACTGGCTATCTTACATCCAACTGCCGGAACACAACTATGCTGCTATCATTGTTGTTATGAGGTAAGGCGAACCTTAACTTCGGACTCCTCCTATGTTCTTCTGATTAATTTCGTTGCGGGTCCAATGACAGTTTAACTTTCCCCCGGGACAAACTTGACCTTCACTGGTTGGGTTTTTATTGGCAATCAAGCTGTAGATCCTGGCTACACAGGAGTTGCAGCGGTGGGAACGAGAGGTGGAAATCATTGTTGTTATGGACAGACTTAGGTAAGATGGTGGTAGCTATATAGCCTGGTAGTTACCAGTATTCTAGTATAAGACTCTCTATACGTGGACGGCGTCAACGGAGTGGGCGGGAAGAAGCTGAACATCATCAGGAAGAGCCTGGATGGCGAGCTGGATCTCAACCTCTACAACTTGGGCGGCCGTATATTGCCCGAACAGCTCTTTTCTGTAAAATGAAAATTGATTCTATGTCTGCTGCTGAGCCCCACAGTAAAAGACCATAAGACATAATACTATGAAAATAACTAAAATATACAAGCCTTGCTGTTTCAACATCAGTCAAGTTTCTGATCTTTCTCACCGCAAAGGCAGCTGAACTAAGTCTTCCCGCCAAGGCAGCAATATGGGGGCCCCATTGTAATTTACAGTCTAGGGTAATACCTAGAAAGACAGTAGAGTTTATCAGTTCAATGCGTTCATTATTTACTGTAATATTAGTATTAACTTGTTTGACATTAGGCATAGTGAATTTTAAACATTTGGTTTTTTTTGCGTTTAATAGCAAATTATTAGTTGTAAACCAGTCTAATACTTTGGAAAGAGCATTATTCACGTCGTCAAATATTTCCTGACGCCTGTCAGTTTTAAAAATTAAAGAAGTGTCATCAGCAAATAATACTATCTCACAAAGGTCCTTTGAATAAAAAGGTAGATCATTTATATAAATCAGAAAGAGCAATGGTCCCAGTATTGAGCCTTGGGGCACTCCCATTTTTAGGGGGGCGCCCGAAGAGTTAGTTCCGTGAATATTTACTTTTTGTAATCTGTCTGAGAGGTAAGAGTGTAATAGGCATAAGGCCTTGCCTGATACGCCATAATGTTCTAGCTTAAATAACAGAGTTTGATGATCAACACAGTCAAACGCCTTCGATAAGTCACGAATGCGACTCTCCTTACACTCAATCGCACACCTCCCAGCGTTTGCCCCGACCCTACCAGCGCGTCGATGTGACGTCACGGCTGGCAGGTATTATTATAGGTCGCTCAACGAAAGTTGAGGCGAACATACTACCACTGATGTAATATTTAAATACAGAACACAAACTAAACTGCACATTCAAATTCAAATATCAAAAACACTAACTACCTCGCTCTTGTTTAATGTCTGCAAGGAAGAAGGAAAACCCTTATCAGTCCTACTAAGTAAGATGTCAGTGTATACAGATACAAATCTTCGCTTGTGTTCATGGCCTCAACTCTTGTTGCGCGAACTATAATTAAGTAGGCACGTTCGAGAGGAAATTACGTGGTTTGGTTTCGAGATTCTTTGCTAGTAAGGACGACAACGCTTATGCTGCGTTTACACTGCGCGGAAATTAGCCAAGTCAAGTCAAAAAAACAGTGGAGTGGGGATGAATTATGAATGAATTTCATCCCCACTCCTCTGTTTTTTTTATATATTCCTTTATTCATTTTCAAAAACACCTTGCTATAACATTTCTGTATTTTTTATAAATGTAGTTTTTTGTTATTATTATACCTCAAAATCTTCTTATCTCTCCAGTGCGGCGCAGACTTCGTGAAGGTGTCTCAGAAGCCCCCAGTGGGAGTCGAACACATGCCTTTCCAGCGCGTGGCGTCGCTTGATGGCGACGGCGACCGGATCGTCTACTACTATCTTGATGACAAGTATGTGACTACTTATTTACTTTTTATTCTTATGGACCATTAGAAACCCTACGTCATTTGATAATAAGATAAGCTCCATTGCACGCGTTCAGGAAAGTTGTGCTAAGCTTGGAAAAACTAATTATTAAATTCCGATTTGGCCGATAGTAATGGGTCATAAGAACTCCTCCGCTCGGTTTCGATAAAGTGACGTCATCGTTCCCGCACCGGGCTGTCAGTGAACTTTTTTAGTAATTTGTCCATAACTTCGTCATTTTTTGTCGTAGAACAAAAATTTTTTGACTGTATATTAAGGATTTCTTAGCCCTATAAATCTATATTCACAACTGAAAATTGGCGTAATATCCCCCATGTTGGTACCCGCTGAAAAACAGCTTCGTGCTTGACGACTTGTGTCATCTCTGTGCATGTATGCACATAAATGTTAATTCTGAATAAAGGTAAATTCTATTCTATTGTAAAGGGAACGGCGAAATAAAATCGAGTTTGGGATCATGGGATTTGTATTTTCGAGCACTTAAGTGCTAGATGAGATGTCCAGGGACCTGATGATGGAGCCGGGAGGTGTCCATAGGAACTCTTGAACGATTTTTGGCCTTTTAGTGCCAGTTAAGCGTGTTTTTAGTTTTTTTTAACTATTAATTAAATTTTCAGAGACAAAATGAACCTCCTAGACGGTGACCGCATAGCGACGTTACTGGCCAGTTACATAACCGAGCTACTAAAGGCGAGCGAGGCGACCGAGCTGAAGTTGGGGCTGGTTCAGACTGCGTACGCTAACGGGGCTTCTACTAAATACATTACTGAAGAGTTGGTGAGTGTAAGATTTTAAACTTTCGCGTTCCATTTCAATTAAAATAGTAAGACACGGATCTTAACGCGACGTAATATTAAACGGCAAGTCGTGATACATAATGTAACTCATTAATAAACGTCGCGTTAAGACTTGTGTCTTACTATTTTAGTTGGTGAGTGGTTTGAATATAAATGAGTTTATACATCTTTCTGCGAGACACGTTCAATTTTATGATTCTATGTACAGCACTATATTTTTATTATTTTACTTACTCATAAAATAAATGTTCACCGAATACAAAAAGTAAAGCTTTTTGCAGTGTGGCGTTTGTTTGTTTTTATGAATAAGTAATTTTATTCAAATAATTTGTGCTTGTGTCGTAAACAATAATGGGATAAGTGTAGATAGTCGCAAATACATAATTCTTAATCTTTTAAGATATCTTTAGGGTCATCCTAATAAATAGACGACTGTCGACACGGAGCACCCGTCAGCAATCTTCTTGAGACGAACAAAAAATGTTGAGCCGAAGTGAATGAAAATGAGCGGGCGCCTTTTTGGCTCGAAAATATGCGTGTACAGTTTTAAGTCCCTTTGTTCTTTTTTTTAATTCTCTTTTTATGTCAAATAAAGCTTTCTTATCTTATCTTTATCTTATCAAATAGGCTTTTAAAAGGTGCTTTTACTCTAAGATCTACTATTGGTTCTTTTTACTAAAATAATTTTCAATATATTCCAGAAAGTCCCCGTGACCTGCGTTAAGACTGGAGTGAAACATCTTCACCACGCAGCTTTGTCTTACGACGTCGGCGTATATTTTGAGGCGAATGGTCACGGCACCGTGGTTTACAGTGCGCAAGCGAAGAGGACTATCGCCAAGATCGCTAGAGAAGGGTGAGTTGGTTTACCTTCACGATCATGCAGCTCATTTAGTCTCATAAAACTCATTTATTTTTTGCAAGTAGGATTTTAAAAAGAGTTTTTCACGTCCCAGTATTACTTTAGCCTACTACTGCTTCTGGACAATAAATAAGCTAATGCGGAGAAGAAGCAGCGCACAAAACTCAGTGACCGGTCTCTACCGTAAAACCATTCTTACCATAGTAACCTCGGAAGTATTGCCACGTCTCGTTCGGTGGCGTAGTGAGGCGGGTCGTTACATTCCCTCTAATATGGTCGAGTGAAGCGATGGCTGGTTCACTCGTCATGTCTGTGAACAGGCGCTGCTTTCGGGGACTGGTCAATCCAAGTTATTCAAATTTATGTATGCGAGTCATTTCTACTAGTACCTTAATATGTAAGTCTAGATATTAGCACGTCACTACCTTGTTTAATATACCACGCAATCTTGTATACCCATTCTTATGATACACCATACAAGAATGCATGGTAAATTCAGTGAACTGCTCCTGAATCGAATGTACCTACTACTACTATTTCTATTTATTTATATTAACCGGCAGACAGTGGTGACTGAGTTTGTTGCGGCGCTTCTTCTCAGCACTTGCCAAATGTTGGTCTCGAAGCGCTGGTAGGGTAAAAAGATTATGAGACATGTAGAGGCTCCTTAAGAGCATATGACGATTTGTAAGAACTATTTATTAGTCTAAACAAATAAAGAAATTTTGACTTTGACTTTGACTTTGTTCCCATCGCTTCAAATTCTGTGTAGCCGGGATCTAATCTTTGACATCCAATAATAACCCAACCAATGAAGGTCAACCAAAGGAAACCCAAGCAAAAAATGTTTGGCTGCAATCGTCATCATTAAGTCGTGGGTATGTAAGCAACAAGATGCTTTAACCCATAAAATTAATGAAATATAATTCAAGACAGTTGTGACTTCATCCAAGAAAGACTTTTTTATTATTATCAATGACTATCAAAATCTCTCTTCAGTTATACTTACCAATATTTTTCCTACAGCGAACCAGAGCAGCGCAAAGCGGCCCAACTATTGCTAGACTTCATCGACATGACTAACGAGACGGTCGGTGACGCAATCTCCGACTTATTCTTGGTCGAAACAGTGCTATGTGCGCGAGGGATCAACGCCAGGCAATGGATGGAGGCCTATACTGATCTGCCGTGCCGCCAGCTGAAGGTTACTGTACAGGTGAGAATAGTTTTCCTTTCTCGAACTTTCCCTCATTAGTTCATTCACAATCCACAAAATGAGCCGAATGATCCACTCACTCACTCATTCGTTTACAATATGTCAAAAGGTGAGTTAACTGGCCGTTCATTCGGTCAAATGTCAAAAGGCGAGCTGAATGATTCATTCGTTTGCCATACATCCATTCGAAAGGATAAAATGAGAGGTAAACCCCCCAGGTAACTTATGAAAACTATTAAGGTGCTACGGTTACTGGGGCGTTCTAAACTTCATCTCAAGCTCGCACTCTAAGATCGTTAATATATCATGACCAACGAGACGGTCGGTGACGCAATCTCCGACTTATTCCTGGTGGAAACTGTACTATGTGCGAGAGGAATCAACGTCAGGCAGTGGATGGAGGCTTATACTGATCTGCCGTGCCGCCAGCTCAAGGTTACTGTACAGGTGAGCCTATTTAAACAATCTATTTACTCATAAATTCGTGCTTACGTCAGAAGATGAGCTCACTCATTCCTTCTTCACATGTCAGATGATGTGCTGATTACTCATTCTTCGGTCACGTGTCAACTGTTCGCTGAAAGCATCACGTAAGTCAGGTTTAAGGCTCGATTTCGCTTGGTCGCGTACATCGGTCGAGCGTACGAATAAACACAATGTTCTATGAAGCACCGCACTGCAACGCCGTCGTCAGCGGCAGATGATTACATAGTACTAGTGTGTAATCGTGCACCGATGTCAGCCTAAAAGGAAATCAAGCCTAAATATAGTCCATTCATTCATTCGTTCACATGTCAAAAGATGAGCTGATTGACCCTTTGATTTGACTTTTTCTTCGACGATTCTCTTGGGTGTCTATACTGTCTATCCCAAGTAACTTTCACGCAAGCTTTGTGGTGTTACGAGGATTCTGGAGCGTTCTAAGCTTATGATGTTATCGCCCTTGCTCATCAATATAACATGACCAACGAGACGGTCGGCGATGCAATCTCCGACTTATTCCTGGTGGAAACAGTGCTTTGTGCGCGAGGAATCAACGCCAGGCAGTGGATGGAGGCTTATACTGATCTGCCGTGCCGCCAGCTGAAAGTCACTGTACAGGTGAGAATAGTTTTCCTTTCTCGAACTTTCCCCCATTACTTCATTCACAATTGGGTATTTGACACCATTTCCCAAAAATTCTAAAGCACAACCTTTTTAAAAAGACACTTCTTTCTGGTCTTAAAAACTTAATTAATTTTTAATTACCTGTAAATTACGATGTTTGGTTGCATTATAATTGAAAAAAGTAGTTTCATTTAGTTGATAAAATTGTGACGTCACATGCTAGTATTGCCGTACAAAAAGTACTTCAATTGATTGGTGGTGTCAAATACCCTATTCACAAAATGAGCCGAATGATCCACTCACTCACTCATTCGTTCACAATATGCCAAAATGTGAGTTAACTGGTCCGCTCATTCGATCAAATGTCAAAAGGCGAGCTGAATGACCTATTCACTCGTTTGCCATTCATCCATTCGAAAGGATAAAATGAGAGGTAAACCCCCCAGGTAACTTATGAAAACTATTAAGGTGCTACGGTTACTGGGGCGTTCTAAACTTCATCTCAAGCTCGCACTCTAAGATCGTTAATATATCATGACCAACGAGACGGTCGGCGACGCCATCTCCGACTTATTCATGGTCGAAACAGTGCTATGTGCGCGAGGAATCAACGCCAGGCAATGGATGGAGGCTTATACTGATCTGCCGTGCCGCCAGCTGAAGGTCACTGTACAGGTGAGAAAAGTTTACAATGAGAGCTATCGTTTTAGCGCTCACCAGTTGGCGCCACTGTAGAGTAAGGTCCTGTCACTTGCTAGTAGCGAAGACAGTGGCACCAACTTGTGAGCGCTAAAGTGGTAGGAGGACAATCGCATCGCATTTGCACTCATCAAGATGGCGCCACTGTAGAGTAAGGTCCTGTCAATCGCCAGGGGTGCCAACTGTTAAGTATAAAAACGATAGCCCTCATTACCTGAAGGATCCATTCACTCTTTCTTACGTCACTTGTCAAAAAATGAGCTGAATGAGCCAATCGTTCGTTCGTTCACGTACCTATTCTTCTCTGAAACTATCACATCGTACTATGCGCGCGCGGTATAAATGAGAGGCAGTGGATGGAGGCTTATACTGACCTGCCGTGCCGCCAGTTTAAAGTTACTGTACAAGTAAGACGGGCTTAATTATCCCAGGCAGGCTTAGATAAGGCGACAGATGATCGTTCTATTCCATCTATTCGTTCACGCGCCGCCTCTTCGCTGAAATCGATACGTAAATCAAGATAAGATTTGCCACCACGAACGTTAAAAAGCAAATTGTGAGAGTGCAACAGACGTATTCAAGTCGTCTGTTGCACTCCATTCACTTTTTCATTCGTGCTTGGTGAAGGATAAACAATGATCTTTCATCCCTTCATAGGTGAATTACCCATTCACTTAATCATTTTTTCACATTCAAAACTGTCTTTTCGTACGCAGATTTTACAGTAAAAGCTAAATTGGGAGCCTACCTCCAGGCATTGAGTCTGCCCATTGTTTGTTCAATAAACAAATTAACCTTGTTCCAGGATCGCAACGCCATCTCAACAACGGATGCGGAGCGTATCTGCACGGCGCCCGAGGGCTTACAGACGAAAATCAACGAGCTTGTAGCGGGATACAAACATGGCCGCGCCTTTGTAAGGCCTTCAGGCACTGAAGACGTAGTACGGGTGTACTCGGAGGCTGACACACAAGAGGTAATTGTATTTTGAGACTTATGCCCTAAGAGTTATAGTCCAATATCGATCTAGCACTGAAGACGTAGTCAGGGTGTACTCGGAGGCTGATACACAAGAGGTAATTGTAATTTGAGACTTATGCCCTAAGAGTTATAGTCCAATATCGATCTAGCACTGAAGACGTAGTCAGGGTGTACTCGGAGGCTGACACACAAGAGGTAATTGTATTCTGAAGCTTACGCCCTAGGACTTACAGCCTAAGATCGACGAGTTGGTAGCGGGGTACAAACATGGCCGCGCCTTTGTAAGGCCTTCAGGGACAGAGGACGTAGTACGGGTGTACTCAGAGGCTGACACACAAGAGGTAATTGTATTTTGAGACTTATGCCCTAAGAGTTACAGTCCAATATCGATCTAGCACTGAAGACGTAGTCAGGGTGTACTCGGAGGGTGACACACAAGAGGTAATTTTGGATTGTATTTTGAAGCTTATTCCCTAGGACTTACAGCCTAAGATCGACGAGCTTGTAGCAGGATACAAACATGGCTGCGCCTTCGTGAGGCCTTCAGGCACTGAAGACGTTGTGAGAGTGTACTCGGAAGCTGACACACAAGAGGTAATTGTATTTTGAGACTTATGCCCTAAGAGTTATAGTCCAATATAGATCTAGCACTGAAGACGTAGTCAGGGTGTACTCGGAGGCTGACACGCAAGAGGTAATTGTATTTTGAGACTTATGCCCTAAGAGTTATAGTCCAATATAGATCTAGCACTGAAGACGTAGTCAGGGTGTACTCGGAGGCTGACACACAAGAGGTAATTGTATTTTGAGACTTATGCCCTAAGAGTTATAGTCCAATATAGATCTAGCACTGAAGACGTAGTCAGGGTGTACTCGGAAGCTGACACACAAGAGGTAATTTTGGATTGTATTTTGAAGCTTATTCCCTAGGACTTAAAGACTAAGATCAACGAGTTGGTAGCGGGATACAAATTACAAACATGGCCGCGCCTTCGTAAGGCCTTCAGGCACTGAAGACGTAGTCAGGGTGTACTCGGAGGCTGACACACAAGAGGTAATTGTATTTTGAGACTTATGCCCTAAGAGTTACAGTCCAATATCGATCTAGCACTGAAGACGTTGTCAGGGTGTACTCGGAGGCTGACACACAAGAGGTAATTGTATTTTGAAGCTTACGCCCTAGGACTTACAGCCTAAGATCGACGAGCTTGTAGCAGGATACAAACATGGCTGCGCCTTCGTGAGGCCTTCAGGCACTGAAGACGTTGTGAGAGTGTACTCGGAAGCTGACACACAAGAGGTAATTGTATTTTGAGACTTATGCCCTAAGAGTTACAGTCCAATATCGATCTAGCACTGAAGACGTATTCAGGGTGTACTCGGAGGCTGACACACAAGAGGTAATTGTATTTTGAAGCTTACGCCCTAGGACTTACAGACTAAAATCAACGAGCTGGTAGCGGGATACAAACATGGCCGCGCCTTCGTAAGGCCTTCAGGCACTGAAGACGTAGTACGGGTGTACTCGAAGGCTGACAAACAAGAGGTATGTGTTTTTTTTTACCATACCGAAGAAACTCTTGGAATATTTTTAACTTTAACTTCCTTAGATTTTAAACGAATAGAGAATGAATCTCTTGGCCTGCATCCCACTTGATAAAAAGTTATGATCAGATCGAAATAAGACAAAAGAAAGAAGCAAGCTTTACTCAGAATTCTCAACCACAGAGGAACTCTCTTTGGCCTTCTTACATTCGGCTGCCGAAACAATAATGTTGCAACATTGTTGTTTGTCAACAGTTCCCATAGCTACAGACAGGGATAAAGTAAGCAGATATTGAAACCGCGACCTCAGACATAGTCGTCCGGCATGCGAACCACCTATGCCCGTTTTCACCATCAATCCCTAATTTTTAAGTGACCCCTATGGTAAGACATAACAGGAATTTTGTTTTCATAGGGGTCACTTAAAAATTAGGGATTGATGGTGAAAACGGGCACTAGACTAAGGGTTGTTTCCTAAGTCTTATGCCCGTTTTCACCATCAATCCATAATTTTTAAGTGATCCCTATGGTAACACAATATGAAATTTGTTTTCATAGGGGTCACTTAAAAAATAGGAATTGTTGGTGAAAACGGGCATTAGTCTAACCAGGCTAATGGATGTCTTAAAAATAGAGTGAAGCCTAAGCTCTGAGGAGGGCTGACATTGACATATCAAGACGTAACAAGGCATACAAATCTGAAGTCTCGCTGACGTATGACAGTCACAAAATCAGCCTCCTATACCGCTCTTATATCCCAGGCAGTGATGAACCGTCTAAAATCTGTTATTTTTAGTCGTGTTTTAAGTTTTTGAGTGTATTGAGTGTATACTTATTTTACCATTTTCTTTGCAGTCAGCAGACAAGTTAGCTGCAGAAGTCGCGCAAGCAGTTTTCGACTTGGCCGGCGGCGCGGGCGAGCGGCCAGTGTTACCCGCATAAACGAACTGTGATAGCACTGAGTTTGGCCACGCAAATACACACCTTACCCCGTTGAGATAGGCCGCTGTTTAACCTGCATGAGTTACCTAATTTTATACTGGCGCAGTTACTTGAGGAATTGGCCGAGACGAAACGCGAGCACGCACTCTGAAGTATTGGCGATGTACTATCGGCAACAGCGTTAACTGCCCATTGCTTGTCATGTCATCTCGTTCTATCGCAAAGAATGACCATTTGATGACAGCGAGAGCAAAAACGGAAATGGATAGTTAACACTGTGGTCGTGTGTACGGCGAAACTAACTGGAGTCCGTGTTTACACTGTCTCGATCAATTTCCCGCATAATGTAACTACGTCGTTCATTGTAAACACAAAATAATACATAAAGAATAGTTACATTGATAAGATTAATAACAAGGACTGAACATAAATACCTATAATTTCCGTGCCGTACCGTGGGTTCGATTCCCAGCTTAGGCAGTTCGATTTTTTAATTAATTTAATTTAGTTTGAGAAGTGAGTCTTAACACTAGGAAATATTAATACCTATAAGTTGTTTGCTAGTTGGTTAAGTTTTTACACCTAAATATTCATCATGGTTAATCTTCCTCTAGAGATGGATGGGAAATGTCTATGTCTATGCCTTGTGGCAAAAAAGTTTAAAAGACATGAGTGAAACTCCCCTACATAGATATTAAGATAAGCCAATATTCTTTATCTTTATTGTTTATTTATAATGATTTCAATTATTTTCCAGAAAGTCCCCGTGACCTGCGTGAAGACCGGAGTGAAACATCTTCACCACGCGGCTTTGTCTTACGACGTCGGCGTGTACTTCGAAGCTAATGGACACGGCACCGTGGTTTACAGTGCGCAAGCGAAGAGGACTATCGCCAAGATCGCTAGAGAGGGGTGAGTTAACTGATCATAACATCAAACAGGACTATTTCCCATCTCTCGTTCCGACCACTGCAACTTCTGTGAAACCAGGATCTAGTAATATAATGGGCGCGCCAAGAGAACCATCCCTATGATCACAAGGGAAAGGTGAGTTGACTAACCATCATCATCATCAGAATATTTAGGCTGAGTTGCACCAGCTAACTTTAAGAATAAGAATAAGAACACTTTATACAGCATAGAAAAAAATAAAATAAAAATACAGTACATACATACTTATAACATCAAACTATGCTGAAGTGGCGTCCGCTCAGCTATATTAGCGACATAGCAAGCGCTATGTCGAGTAGCTGGTTTTCAGCGGGAACCATTATACGATGAGGATTGCGGATTGCGCGCCCTCTTGACCAAGACCATATTGAGACATATTGACTCAAGACCAGCCAAGAAGTAGAAAAGAATCTTAACGACAACCGGTGTTTTTTCTACGGAGTTTGACAGACTTCTGACGTTTGTCAAAGTTAAAATAAGATGGTGCAACCCAGCCTTAGTCTCTACTGCAGAAACACAACCCTCTTTAATTACCATATCAATGACATACTATGGGACTATTCCCACTTCTCGTTCCCACCGCTGGTATTCCTGTATAGCTAGACCACCAATGAAAACCCAACCAGTGAATGCCAGGTTTGGTCCCAGAGAAAGTGAGGTACTGCAATCGTTTCTTCTCAGCACTTGCCATGTTATGTTTGTCTCGAAGCGCTGTTCGGGCCCAAAGGATAAGACATGTAAATTGCCTCTAAGGACTACCTTTTTTATTATTTTTGACGTTCTTAAGTGCCCAAACACTAAACTAAGAAATGTTTTTGACTTGATTTGATACTTATCAATATATTTTTTCCTACAGCGAACCAGAACAGCGCAAAGCGGCCCAACTGCTACTAGACTTCATCGACATGACCAACGAGACGGTCGGCGACGCAATCTCCGACCTCTTCATGGTCGAAACAGTGCTATGTGCGCGAGGGATCAACGTCAGGCAGTGGATGGAGGCTTATACTGATCTGCCGTGCCGCCAGCTGAAAGTCACTGTACAGGTGAGAATAGTTTTCCTTTCTCGGACTTTCCCCCATTAGTTCATTCACAATTCACAAAATGAGCCGAATGATCCACTCACTCACTCATTCGATCACAATATGTCAAAAGGTGAGTTAACTGCTCCGTTCATTCGGTCAAATGTCAAAAGGCGAGCTGAATGACCTATTCACTCGTTTTCTATACATCCATTCGAAAGGATAAAATGAGAGGTAAACCCCCCAGGTAACTTATGAAAACTATTAAGGTGCTACGGTTACTGGGGCGTTCTAAACTTCATCTCAAGCTCGCACTCTAAGATCGTTAATATATCATGACCAACGAGACGGTCGGCGATGCAATCTCCGACCTCTTCATGGTCGAAACAGTGCTATGTGCGAGAGGGATCAACGCCAGGCAATGGATGGAGGCCTATACTGATCTGCCGTGCCGCCAGCTGAAAGTCACTGTACAGGTGAGAATAGTTTTCCTTTCTCGGACTTTCCCCCATTACTTCATTAATAATTGGGTATTTGACACCATTTCCCAATAATTCTAAAGCACAACCTTTTTAAAAAGACTTCTTTCTGGTCTTAAAAACTTAATTAATTTTTAATTACCTGTAAATTACGATTTTTGGTTGCATTATAATTGAAAAAAGTAGTTTCATTTAGTTGATAAAATTGTGACGTCACATGCTAGTGTTGCCGTACAAAATCTATAGGAGAGTGTCGTTTTGACAGTTTTAAAAAGAATGTCAATTGATTGGTGGTGTCAAATACCCTATTCACAAAATGAGCCGAATGATCCACTCACTCACTCATTCGTTCACAATATGTCAAAAGGTGAGTTAACTGGTCCGCTCAACGAGGAATCAACGTCAGACAGTGGATGAAGGCTTATACTGATCTGCCGTGCCGCCAGCTGAAAGTCACTGTACAGGTGAGAGGATTTAACTTCTTTCCCATGCCAAAAGATGATAAGCTGGATGATTCACCCATTCGTTCAAATGTCAAAACGAGCTGAACAATTCATTCCCTCATTCACATGTCATAAAATTTGCTAAATTACTTACCCATTTTTTCACGTGCCAATCCTTCGCTGTAATCGTCACGTAAGTCAGATTTAGATATAACAGATGACTTGAATTTATCCATTCACTCATTCATTCGTTTGCTCGGATGTCAATGACTAATTCAATGAGATATTCTTTTACTTAACACTTCTTAATTTTTAATGACGATGATCTTGTGTTTTTTCGACAATGGGCACACTGTCTGTCAATGCGCACCTTTTATACAATGTTTTATAAAACCTACTTTGATAAAGTCTCACTCTCCATGCATTAGTCAGCTGATTATATTTTTATAAATAAATAAACCTTATTCCAGGACCGCAACGCCATCTCAACAACGGATGCGGAGCGTATTTGCACGGCGCCCGAAGGCTTACAGACCAGAATCAACGAGTTGGTAGCGGGGTACAAACATGGCCGCGCCTTTGTAAGGCCTTCAGGCACTGAAGACGTAGTCAGGGTGTACTCGGAGGCTGACACACAAGAGGTAATTGTATTTTGAGACTTATGCCCTAAGAGTTACAGTCCAATATCGATCTAGCACTGAAGACGTAGTCAGGGTGTACTCGGAGGCTGACACACAAGAGGTAATTGTATTTTGAGACTTATGCCCTAAGAGTTATAGTCCAATATCGATCTAGCACTGAAGACGTAGTCAGGGTGTACTCGGAGGCTGACACACAAGAGGTAATTGTATTTTGAGACTTATGTCCTTAGAGTTATAGTCCAATATAGATCTAGCACTGAAGACGTAGTCAGGGTGTACTCGGAGGCTGACACACAAGAGGTAATTGTATTTTGAAGCTTACGCCCTAGGACTTACAGCCTAAGATCGACGAGCTTGTAGCAGGATACAAACATGGCGGCGCCTTCGTGAGGCCTTCAGGCACTGAAGACGTTGTGAGAGTGTACTCGGAGGCTGACACACAAGAGGTAATTGTATTTTGAGACTTATGCCCTAAGAGTTATAGTCCAATATCGATCTAGCACTGAAGACGTAGTCAGGGTGTACTTGGAGGCTGATACACAAGAGGCAATTGTATTTTGAGACTTATGCCCTAAGAGTTATAGTCCAATATAGATCTAGCACTGAAGACGTATTCAGGGTGTAATTGGAGGCTGACACACAAGAGGTAATTTTGGATTGTATTTTGAAGCTTACGCCCTAGGACTTACAGATTAAGATCAACGAGTTGGTAGCGGGGTACAAACATGGCCGCGCCTTCGTGAGGCTTTCAGGCACTGAGGACGTAGTGCGGGTGTACTCGGAGGCTGACACACAAGAGGTATGTGTTTAACCACATCGAAGAAACTCTTATAATAATTTTAAACTTTAACTTCCTTAGATTTTAAACGGATAGAGAATGAATCTCTTGGCCTGCATCCCACTTGATAAAGTTATGATCAGACCGAAATAAGACAAAATTTTCAATCACAGAGGAACTGGCTTTCTTACCCTCGGCTGCCGAAACAAAACAACAGTTGTGGCAACAGTACAGTTCCCATAGCTGCAGACAGGGATAAAGTAAGCAGAGATCAAAACCACGACCTCTGGCATTGTCGTCCGGCATGCGAACCACCTTACCAATATGGATGTCATAAGAATAGACTGAAACCTACGCAGGCACTAACATTCTACAAGCTTAGCTTAGTTTAGGCGCAGTGTAAAATGTCCAAGAATATTTATTTATTATTTATTTTATTCTACAGGGTGTTAGGTAAATGGGTATATGAGCCGACACTAGCCCATGTTAACATGGGCATATAAATGGTATGGTGAAGTCAGAAAATTGATATCTTCATTTTAATTATTTTAATTTTCATACAAATCGGATTTTATAAAATTTATTTTGTGTGAAAATAAAAAATAAAAAAATGATGATATCGAATTTCTGANCATTTTAATTATTTTAATTTTCATACAAATCGGATTTTATAAAATTTATTTTGTGTGAAAATAAAAAATAAAAAAATGATGATATCGAATTTCTGACTTCACCATACCATTTATATGCCCATGTTAACATGGGCTAGTGTCGGCTCATATACTCATTTACCTAACACCCTGTATAGATCTAGCGCTTAACTCAGTGAGGTATGAGAGCAGCACGGGAGGAGTGATATTGACATAATATCAAGACGTAACAAGGCATACAAATATGAAGTCTCGCTGACGTTTGACCGTCACAAAATCGCCTCCTGTATAGATGACCCACGCTGAACTGTCCCACCAAACTCAATGACAGGGGGGCGCTACCATCGTTCAACTATATGGTTTCCAACATGGCAAAAATCGGAACCAGCGATCCGGTATAGACGGTGGCGCCCCGCTGTCAATGTCATGGACAGGACAGTTCAGTATTTTGGAACTATACCGCTCTCATACCCCAGGCCGTCAGGCATGAACCGTCTAAAATGTGTTATTTTTAGTCGTGTTTTAAGTTTTTGAGTGTGTTGAGCGTATACTTATTTTACAATTTTCTTTGCAGTCAGCAGACAAGTTAGCAGCAGAGGTGGCGCAAGCAGTTTTCGACTTGGCCGGCGGCGCGGGCGAGCGGCCAGTGTTACCCGCATAAACGAACTGTGATCGCACTGAGTTTGGCCACGCAAATACACACCTTACCCCGTTGAGATAGGCCGCTGTTTAACCTGCATGAGTTACCTAATTTTATACTGGCGCAGTTACTTGAGAAATGAGGGTTTTCGCTATTGAAGGATCCGCCAGATGGCGATACGTGGACGCGGGGTCCAGATGCTGCGTGATTGATTATTTTTGACATGACATTGACAGATATGTCAAAATCCAGCAATCACGCAGCGGTCGGACCCCACGTCCGCGTCCCGCCATCTGGCGGATTTTTCAATCGCGAAAACCCTCATTGGACGAGACAAAACGCAAGCACGCACTCTGAAGTATCGGCGATGTTCGGCGAAACTAACTGGAGTCCGTGTTTACACTGTCTCGATCAATTTCCCGCATAATGTAACTACGTCCTTCATTGTAAACACAAAATAATAAAAAAAGAATATAAGTTACATTGATAAGATCAAGTTGATCAATCTTCTTATGACAACCAACTCAGTGCTGGAATCATAAAACAACGCACTTGCTAGTCCATTGGTTTTATATAAGTTTTATAACAAAATCTCAACTTTATTTTTTATTATTCCCTTTATTTTGTTATCAATAAATATTTTAACAATAAATAATGGTTAACCAAAATAATATAATGGTCCAAATAAATTTCTAATCTAGATCTACCTTGTTTTTGCAAGACTCATTCACAAAATAAATAATATAAATTAATAAATAGTAGAAGCTTCAAAATCGATTGAATGCCCGCGTTTTTAATAATTGTACCTTCACACTGCCTGAATTAGTCTTAGGTAAACTAACAAATAATATTAGTCAATATTCATATTATTGAACCCTTTTATAGTAAAATTAACATAGTTATATTTTGAATGTTGTAATAAGGAAAAGTTAGGAGAGCGAAATATTTAGATGTGTTAAGTACAAGAATGAAGGTAAAAGGATATTTTATAACTTAGTGAAAATGTGTATAAAAACTTCCAAAATTATATAAATTAGAGAATAACTTTGATAGGTAAGGAAATATTTAGATTGAATTTGATAAATATATTCTTAACTTTTTATCCCAAGGATATATTAGTTGGAAGAGCCAACATCTTAATAAATTTATATGATAAAATATTACTTAGCCTTTCAAATTACTCTCGTCCTCTCTACCATTAAAATTTATATGTTAATGGAAATATTACTATGAAAATTCCAGTTGTTCGAAGTTTGTGATGCGAAATGACTTGTTCTTGTCACCCTTATAGGATAAGAGGGAGTAAGATATATTCGAGTGAGATGCATATTATGTACCTAAGCGCCGTACCAACGTTATTGAGATTATATTAGTAACTATAAATGTAACAAAAAGGTAAAATATTGTATAAATAAATAAATTTACACAAATGTAGAAATGTTTTCAGCTTTTGAACACAGCTATGCACCGAGTTTGTGTAGTAAAGGGTGCAATGAAAAATTTACATGAAAAGTGCTACTTTATGTTTAAACAAATTGCATACCTATAGGTAAACCTCGATAGTGTAAAAACCATGACATTTTTAATATGATGTTTAGTGATTAAACAGATAATTAATAAAAAATGTGATAATACACGAATAAATTCCATATTGCATTTTCAGGTGTATATTAGTTTTATTTTTAACAAGTGTAATAATTATTGTGTGTAATCGCTCAAATTTTTATTCATATCGAAAGTTAATTTTACGTAATACGAATTTAGTTTTAACGTCGTCGAAAACTATGTATTTGGTGTTCGTTTTTACTTGTGACTTAATTTTACGCTGTTTTTTCGTGCAAATATCATTGTTTTCTTGTTCCATAATCGTCATATTTCGCAATACCATTGTTTGGATGTTGTAAATTGCTGAAATTATCTTATCTTACATCATGAGTAGGTACTTCATTGAGCGTCCAAATTGATACGCAAAAAATTTCAACATGCCCTGCCGGTCGACGAAATATTTCGTTCGAATCAAGAATTCAATAACCTAAATAAAATTACATAAGGCACACTTAAGTTTTTGTAATTATGTAGTTTTGTTATTATTTGTTTGCAAGGTGCCTAGAAATGTGAAAGTACTGTATTCTACTTCAGGGCCTTATTTGTTGAGCTGTTTGAATTGAGATTAGCTGTTATGATAGGAGGGGCATGCAATACCACCTGCCATACAAACGTAAATTATGAATGGGTACCCCCTTGGCATAAATGACGCCAATGCTCGATAAAGTTCTTAATATACTTTCAAATCACAAGTTATCTAACTTACCTAGACTTCTTGACATCATGGTACGTGCATTTGATAACATATCAAAGTGAAAATGTTAAGATAATCGCAAGTGTGTTATTGTCAATAGTTTTTACTAAAGAAAACAAACGCAAACTATGTATTAAAGAAACCTATAAGTTTTTTNAGTTTTTGAATAAAATCTGTCTTCTAAGAGAAAAGTATCAAGGACTTTCAAGAGTTTTAGAATGCTTAAATCATTTAATATCATCATTAAAGTTATTCTAAGATAAGCAAACTCCGAAAATCACGTTGAGTATCAGTTGAGAGCACCACGCTACAAAAAATCAATTATTAAGTCAAATCTCAAAAATATTGTCATCCATCGTCCTTGATAGATTTTGGTGCTGAATATAGTATGCCTTATCGGATCGGAATGGAGTAAATTGAATTAGAAAAGACAGCTATTTTAACTTGCTATTTTATTACTGCAATAAATAATCTATTAAATCATTATTATTTGTGCAATTACTGTTATGAATGTGTGAATTTCCTTTATGCTATTGTTATCTTCAATATATCATTAATCAATTACTAAAATGTTTTTTATTTTTGACCAACCTTTACCTACATCTGTAATAAGAAGTGTGTGTAAGCGTTTAAATAATATTCTAGAATTTTATAGACGAAAAGGTTTAGGAGAAAAAAATAAATATTTAACAAATTAAAGATTTTATTAACAAAAACATCAATACTATGCCCAGAAAATAATCTTAAACTAGGTAAATTATTTCTTAAATAAAACAAAATTGTAAAAACACAGTAATTAAAACTAGAAAATTATGATTTGCAACAAAATAAAACACATAATTTAAAAACTTACCATCAATATAAGTTCAAAAATGTGGCAACAGCATTTTATGCTTATTTAATTAATTAATAGAGATCAAATTTGCTAATTTTTTGTGCGCCACTTCATTACAATTTTATAAATTACGTAGCATTGATTGATGATCTTTAACAATATAATTGTGAAATTGGAATGTTCAAAATCTTTAGTAAAATTATTGTAATGTGAAAATGAGTCAAGAAAAAAAATAAAAAATTTCTTTCATGGACATTTACATTCAGTAAAAAGTTGTTTGAATTAATTATTAATTAAACTGCCCAGTTTACAGGCATAATAGACATTTGAAAGTGTTCAATACAACATTATGCTGTCACACAATATTTTAAAATGTAATTGGTGAATAACAGAACACTTGAATTTTAATTATTTATTTAGGATTATTTTCCACCATTTAAACTTTCTAATACATGTACTCTTATCTACTTAATGTTATTTTAACATTCAATAGAAATACTTTATTTAATATAATTTAGGGCAAGTCAAATGTATTTTATACACAATAGTAACTATTATCATAGAACTATTGAATTACATTATTAAAATTGAATGGCAGAATAATACAGTAAAAGTGAGTATAACATAATTGTAACTAAATACTATGGTAACTACTTTTAGTGCATCAAAAACAGTATCAACACACTTATGAATAGAATATAATATGTATTAGAATCTGTTGAAATGAAGGCACAAAACCATTTGAACTATAACAATCTTTACAGCAACTATTAACAATTAAATTCATATTTGTAAATACATTCCAATCATGTGATAATATGTATTTAGGTACTACTATTTTTCCAAAGAGCATTATTGTTTACTACATACAATAAAGGATCTATGTAATGATTTAAAACTACTATGGAATTTACTATTACACATTAACCTCTTACCTACGGGAGGCACCTATAGTTGCCAAGTCAAAAGTCACTTCTCAATACGGGTGACATCTATTGTTATTTTGGCAAAGCCAATACTAAATCACGGTTTACGACAAAAAACAATAAAATTGCAAATTAAGTGTAAAATGCGCTTGTCATTATGAAACTACATTAGTTGCAGAATATAATATTCCAAATTTCAATACCGTAAGTCTCATACTTTTTAAAATATCTTGATGTAAAGTGGAGCAAACAATTTTATGGGTTAAAATACCCCGTATTGAGAGGACTTTGGGTTTCCAAGGGCCTGTAGGTAAAGGGTTAACATTAGAACAATGTAGTCAATAAATTTTTTTTAACACACATTAACAAGTTTCTTCACTAAGAACAGTATTAAATATTTTAAGTGTGGATAATTAACTATATTGCAACTGCTGGTATCAATAATCTTTGTCACATAACAGCTCCTCTATTATAGTTGTCTGATCCTCATTTAGATAAATGAAGCTTAATTCCAGAACCAAATAACCAATATAATGTAGTTCCAAGCCTGTAATTGATTGAATTCAAATATCTAGACAAATCACAACTTTAAAAGTATTCTTGTGCATTTATGCATGTGTCATTTCATAATACTTAAGTTTCAAATCAGGGAAATGTATAGACATCAGTGACTGGTCAACACTGCCACATAATAACATGGAAATTAACTACAGAAACAAATTCTCATAATTTAAAACAATATTACTATTAGCACTACCAATATTTGTACCTAAGCCAGTATCGGCCCTAAATACGGTGCTTGATCACAGTAAAAACATCTCGGTACATCAGTTTCTTGTAATTCAACTACATTAGTACTTATTTCATTAGCTACTTGGTAATAACGGCATCTTCTAGGTCCGATGCCTTCGATTAGTGTATCATAAGGCGGAGAGAGGATGTCAAAAAATGCTGCTGGCATATCTAAAGCTTCTATTTCGTGGTAGTTTGACACTGTTGGAGTCAGTGTGCAGGTTTCAGAATTAGCTCTACATACACTGTTGTTGGTTATTTTCGCGAACAATCGCCTACGTTTGTGAATACCTTGGGCTAGCCGCGCTGCTTCGTGCCTCGCGCGAACCACGAAGTCTATGGTGTCCACAGCCTCTTTCAGGGGATACTCCGTGAAACTTCTGATCTTCACAGCGCCAACAATCACTTTTAACAGTCCGTGCATGTGCGGGTGGTCGTGTAAAGGCATTCTGAATCCTGGTTGCAGCACAAATATACTCATGTTTATTTGACTATTCTGAAACACTTCTATGTATGTACACGGGGCCTTGTTCGGCCTGGACCATGTCGATGGATCACCGAGGCTAGCGTCGAAGCCCAGATCCTCCGCTTTTAACGAATCCATCATAATTTTTAACTTGCTCAAGTTGGTCGACAATTCGTTTTTGAAATTGTCATCGAACGTCCGCAAGGCATGCCGGTATGTCGAAATGATTGGAGGTATGTTAACAATTTCCATTGAGGATTTTGCTTCATTCCTAATATCCATATGAAATCTAACTGCACTGATACACTGGAATTTTTGTCTAGTAAAAAAGGTGGAAAATAATCGGCTCGACGATAACAAAACGAACTTGTCAACAAACGTCATTTTTACTTTTTGTTTTTTAATTTAAGCCGTTTCTTTCCACAGAGCTTGTTATCGATAGTGTAACCACAAATTCCTAAACAATAAAACGATTAAATTAATTATGCTTTAAATAAGTAAATAACCATGAAATTCATGCAGCGTTAAAATAAAGGCTTTTTATGGCTATATTCTATATTTTTTACATAATAAACCGTTCCGTTTTGCATAATCAGGTACAGTGTAGGTAAAATGTTATGATTAGCGCCATCTAGCGTCTCAAATCTATCAAAGCAAAAGTGTGTCTAAGTTATAAATACTACAATAGATGGCGCTACACGCTTATTATTTTGCAACCATTTTTTTTTTGCAACCAACTTTTCCCAACAGATTATCTATATATATAAAAGAAAGTCGTGTTAGTTACTTCGCTTATAACTCAAGAACGGCTGAACCGATTTAGCTGAAAATTGTCAGGGAGGTAGTTTAGAGCCAGGAGAAGGACATAGGATACTTTTTATCCCGTTCGAAATTTAAAAAAAAGTCTGCTTATTTATTGCCATTAAGGCGGAACAAAGTTTTTTGCAACCAACTTTTCCCAACAGATTATGATCTTGAAAAAAGAAGGGCTAAGAAGAAGTAATGACCTTGAATGAATACAATAGTCCCGCTAATCCTTCGTTGTAAGCTAAATAAATAGATATTATTATGTTTGTGTTACGAGTGGGCAGGATTCGAACCCGCGTTCCTCGGATCTCGATTTGACCATTTCGACATAGATACCGTTGGGCTATTGTCAATTGAAACTAATTAATTAGGTATACAACCATGCTAAGGATGCCTCGTAGTAAGGAGCTGCAATAGGAACAGAGAGACTGACTGAGCCATTCTAGTCATAATAACTAAGTACGTACCTACATGGGAGCAATGGAAGTTGCAAGAAGACTTTCAGTCATTTATTTACTGCTGAACGGCTGATACTGATAATGAACTGAGAGGCCTCTCTCAATGATTTGCATAATCCGATTGGTAGCAGCCTACATCCAGTGCCTAATCCTGCTACCTTTATGAGGTCGTCAGTCCACCTTGTGGGTGAACGTCATAAGCAGCGCAACTACCGAAAAGCGCAGAATTGGAACATAATAGTAAATAAGTATCTATCTTCTGTGGTAACTAGGTACCTAGGTACCTATTTTACATTATTTATTGACAATACATTAACCTCAGCAATAACCTGATATTTTCCGCGTTTCCACTCTTAAGTACACACACGGCGTTTCCACAAACAAACATTTTGTACAATGGCCAACGGATTCTATTTAAACAAACGTATCTACTGATGAATTTATCTATGTTTAGAGACGCGTTAATCTGTTAAACATTACTGTCAATAAAACGCAGACAGTTCTGTTGGAAGCTCAATAAAATGGGCTTAAAGCGAAGACTTCTATAGAATTACTAGACAGGCCGTGAAACTTAGTTCAGGTGAAACCCATGTTCGCAAATAAAAATTATTTTACCCCCTTAGGGGTTGAATTTTGCAAAATCCCGTCTTAATGAGTACCAACGTTCTAAAAGGAACCCCCATGCAAAATTTGAGACTCCTAAGCTCGATTGTAGTTTTTGAGATTTCGTGATGATTGAGTCAGTCAGTCAGTGACCTTTCGCTTTTATAGATATAAGTAAAGATAGATAGATAGATTACAAGCGAGAAGAGCAGATGTGCAGACGACAAACTAAGTAGGTAGGGGAAAGTAGTACGAGTTGATCCCCTGGGGTAAGATGATCTTTCGCGATTGCGCTGAAACCACTAACGTCATTTAGTTTCTTTCACTGGTAAAACATAGCTCTGGACACATCCCCGCCTCAGTCAAATCGTAATGGTGGCGTGAGCGATACATCGAATTTGACGAGAAAAAAGAAAAATTGTGTACCTACTTCTGATCTAAAATAGGCATGACTTTGAGCTTATGTTACTTTTATTCAAACAATGTTAAATGTAATTACTGTTGTCGTTAGGTTTTCTATTATGTTTAATTTTAATATTTTGGCCATAAAAACGTAGCCGCGTACTTGTAGATTATTTTAGCAAATATTTAACAAAAAGTGGGACTTGGGTCAAGATGATCCCTTCCTATATGTACGAGATGATCCCTGGGAATTAAAATAAAAAAGTCAATGTAGTAGGTAAAGGGAAGTGAAATAAAAGAAAGAGAACATATTTTTTGAAGATTGGGCATTCATTTCAGCTAAAGGACGTCCGCTGCTGGACAAAGGCCTCTCCCAAGTATTCAAATGACCGGTTCTGCTCTGTTCGAATTCAGGTTTTTCCCAAGACCTTCACCAGATTGTCGGTCCACCAAATGGGAAGGCTTGCCCACATTGCGTTTTCATATCAGTGGTTGCCTACCTACTTAGTAGTGGTTTATGTCCGTTTTCACCATCAATCCCCAATTTTTAAGTGTCCCCTATGAAAACAAAATTCCTGTTATGTGTTACCATAGGGGTCACTTAAAAATTAGTGATTGATGGTGAAAACGGGCATTAGACACATACAAGATTTAAGACAGTTCTAATTCTAAGCTTGCTTAGTTTGGCACCAGATGGCGCAGTGTAATCATTCCCAAGGATTTTCTTTCTTCAGCCTGTCTAGTAGTTTAGTTAGAAGTCTTTGGATTAAACAGTTCAGTGTATGTGGTATTTGTGTAAGTGCCGCAGCCACCCAGGCCAGCCGACCACACCGCGACGTGGCCACCTTTATGGGGCGATGGTTTGCGAAGAGTCGTTAGGATGGCATGAGGAAGCGTAAGAATGCTGCTTATTTTGGTCGATAGGAATCTTTAGATTTAGGAGTAGCAAGTTATGGGCATTGACGTAACGGACCAATCTTCTTGTGGTTGGGTATAGCAACTGAGGTAACAAACAAACGGTGTAAATTAGACTGCTAGGCACAGTGCTTAGGTATGTGGCCTCCGTGACATGGATAGGTAATAGACAAAGTATTTCTACCTTTTCGTGTCGAACTCAGAACCTCCAAGTCGAAACGGTCAACGAAACGATGATGTCAAGTAACACGCTAATTCCAAAGCTTTGAGATAACTAAGTACTTACTTGAGGTAAGGAACGTTCTAATAAAAAAAGTGTTAGGGGGCGTCCATAAATTACGTGAGACTTTTAGGGGGGGGAGGGGGTTAACGAAAACCTCACTAAATCTCACGTGGGGGAGAGGGGGGGTCTCGGAAAATATCACGTAATTTTTCCCACAAGAAATAGAGTAAATTTGCCAGAAAACTGGGTTATTGAAGTAAAAAAAATGTTTTTTTTTATGATGATAATGACAATAAAATTTATTCTAAACCGTCTAATCAAATTAAACTAAAAATGCCTCCATCTGCATTTTTGAACACTAAAGATGCAGAATAAATGTGCCACGCGCAGTGTAGGGTTCTGTAGTTGTCTGTCGTTACCACAATATATTAATCAGAAGCAAGCAATTACTTCATCTAAAGTCACTTTTCATATTATTTTCTTCTAAGAAATTTTTACTGGTTAAGAAATTGTATAATACATGAGTCAAATAACTATTACTCTCTTAAACTAAGTAATGTATCTTAACCGTTATAGTTTTCCTTGAAAAAAATTCATCCCCACTTTACATGCAGGGGAGCTACACTAGAATTATTATTTTTTTCAAAATTTTATTTTACCGTTTTGTCGGCGTTTTTTAACGATTAGTTTACATTTACATTTTTTNTAGTTTACTTTTTATTAATATTTAACCATTAGTAGCAAAATTTAACAATTAGTTATTTTAACTATGAATCAAAAAACTGGTCCTAGATTGAAGCAATGAGGGCTATCGTTTTTATACTTAACAGTTGGCACCCCTGGCGATTGACAGGACCTTACTCTACAGTGGCGCCATCTTGATGAGAGCAAATGCGATAGGCCTCCTACCACTTTTGTGCTCACCAGTTGGTCCCACTGTCTTTGCTACTAGCAAGTGACAGGACCTTACTCTACAGTGGCGCTAACTAGTGAGCGCTAAAACGATAGCCCTCATTGCTTGTCTTACTAAACGACGGTTAGCAAGCTACGGAACCCTGCACTGCGCGTGGCACGACACTGGGTTACTGATTTTTTCATATAAATCTAATAGACTCGAAGCATAGACGTTGCAAAATAGGCATTTTATTAAATATCACGTGAGATTAGGGGGGTGGGGGAGGGGGTCAGGCAAAATCTCACCAAATCTCACCAAGGGGGGCGGGGGGGTTGAAAAATGGCCAAAATTGTCTCACGTAATTTATGGACGCCCCCTTAAAGGAACAGTAGGTTCTTATGTTTCACTCCCAAAGTCCAGCCTTACGCTATCAGGGAGGTTTTAACAGAATAACATTCGTTCGTGGCAGGTAGTGAAGTATTTAGTAACATATCAAGGTCGTCACGAAGCGATTTCGGTATTCTGCTATCTTATCTTCTATCCCTCATGCATGTAGGTACAGTCAACAGCGCATCAGATCAACTACATAAATATTGCAATACTGCATACTGACACTGTTTAGGCTGTACTTTTATGGCAATTCCAAGCACTGCACCCTGGTGAGTATCCGAGCGCTACCGGCGCTGGCGATCGTCAGCGCGCTGGGTGGCCGCACTTCCAAGAAATTGCTGGAAAAGTGCGCTGAAGCCCTCACGGTAGGGTTGCCATGCTATACATATTATAGATACTCACATAATATAATTTCCTACGTTAAAAGCTTTGAAACTTCATCATCATAATCATCATTTTAGCCACAGGACGTCCACTGCTGAACATAGGCCTCCCCCAATGACGTCCACATCGCACGGTTGGCAGCGGCCTACATCCAGCGAATACCTGCTACCTTTATCAGGTCGTCGGTCCACCTTATAGGTGGAATGCGTAAGGTGAAACTTCGCCTTAAGCATATCATAAATTCGTACTTATTAGCAGATAAACTATGTTTTCACTTCTTTCTGAATGATGAAACCTTTGATGAATT